CAGAATTAAAACATTTAGTAATATTTTTACATTTTTTCATAAAAAAAGAAAAGAAAAGAAAAAGGAAAGGATAAATTAAAGAATCAAACTGTAACAGAGAAGCATTTAAGAAGCTTGTCTATTTACATCGATGGGTGATGAAGAGGATCAAGAGAGGAACAGGTACTTGAGGATTCACCTTACTACACTACTACTGACTGTGGGATCCACACCCAACAACAACGGAACCTTTTTTTTTTTTTTTTTAAATTACACCAAACTCTCACTTTTTTCCTTACCTTTTGGTTACAATGCAAGTCTTTTAACCATTGGTTAGCTCGAGTTAGGTTACTACGCACCAATTAATCAAAAAGCAAACATAAATTAAGTTAAAGAAAACACAATTATTAATAAAATACATTTAATTATATCCAAATTTGAAATTTGATCAAAATTACTATTTTATCCTTAATATTTTAAAAAATTAAACTCTTAGGTGCTATTTGTTTTTTATTAAATTTCTTGTTTTTCTTTTTTTTTTTAAAATAAATAAAACATATTTGTTTCAACTTCTTTAATTTTTTTTTTCTTTGCTTTTGAGAAAGCTGTTTTCAAAATAAAAAATAAATTTTATGAAACCATAATAGTGGTTTACAGAATTGTGTTTTCTATGTTCTGTTATTATTACTATTATTTTCTCTATTTATCCAAAATATACAAGCATATATTTTTATTTCTATTTAAATTCTCAGCTTTTTTTTTCTCTCTTTTCTCTATTTAGTATTATTTTGATATTTATTATTATTTTTTCTATCTATATAAATCTAATGTCATTTAGTATTATTTATTTATTATAATATTTGGATGTTATGTTTTTATTCAACATAATAATCAATAGTTAATGTAACATTTAAATTTTAAAATTAAATTGTAAAATATTTTTAATCATTTCATCTGAAACTTTGAAAATTTTTTGAAAATTTATTATTAGCCACAATTTTTAATGACTTAATAAGAGATATTTGATAATTGGAAGAAATTTTCAACCAAAAAACAAAGAAAAATAAATTTTTTTAAAAAATATTTTTCAAAAATCAAGTAATCAAAAACTGTGACAAACGAGGCCTTAATATTTATATCGTTCTTTATCGGGTCTATAGCACACATAATGTCTAATATGATGCTAATCAAGTGTAGTCTGATTGGTCTTTCTACTTATTGTAATAGATGTACGGCGCCAATTTGGTGAATGTTATTTGAAGAGAAGGGCTGCCCCGTGTTGTGCAATCCATAACGTCATTTCAATCTGTTGGGCCTCTCAAGCTTTCTATTTTTCTTTTTTTTTTTAGAAATTTTAAATTTTATTTTATTTTTCTATAGTTTGATTGGTTGTTGAATATATTTTTAAAGTTAGATATTGTATAGGTGGTTATGGATTTAAAAATTTTAAGCTATTATTATGTTATTTAATTTTTATCTTTAAGATGATTACATTTCGATAATTACAATTTAAATTTTGTTCTTTAAGATAGATAAATATATCTGATGTTCATTTTAATTTTTTTTCATCAATAGCTGGTACGTCTTTTTTTTTTAATTTGCCTTTTCTCTAACAATTCAAAATTGATGCTAAATAGGGATGAGTTTTTAGTTTTGAACAATTCAAAGTAAGAAAGATATATATAGTAATATAATATTTGTATGTTTAATGAAAGTGCCTATATATTCTATATTTAATTTTACTTTATATTAATTCTTAACAATATACACTAATTAAAAAAATATTTTGAAACATTATTATATTCTTAATTTAAATATTAAATTATAAATGAAAAACTTTTAAAATGATATTACAATTTAATAAAAATAATTACTCAGATAATATATTAATATCTGCGCGTAAAGCGCGGTTTCATTGACTAGTTCACTTATACAGTCAAAATATAGAGAATAAATAAAAATTAGGCTCATATCTTTGCGACTAAATATTAATTTACCATATATCATAACATTTTTACTCTCTTTTCAAGTAAAGTAGCTTTTTAGTATTTCATATATTAAAAATAACTTTTTTAGTAATATATATATATATATATATATCCAATATATCATAACATTTTTCACTCTCTTTTCAAAAGTAAAGTAGCTTTTTTAGTGATTCATATATTAAAAATAACTTTTTTTAGTAAATATATATATATATATATAATATTTATTTATTTTAGCTTTCACACACACACAGTGTTGTTTGAATAATAACTTTTAAATTTAACTTTTTTATATATTTATTTATTTTAGCTTTTTATTATAAATTAAAGTGTTGTTGAATAATAACTTTTAAATTAACTTTTAAAAATAATTATATCGTTGGTTGTATAACTTTTAGAGGTTAATAAAGCTTTTTGTGACACTATAAACATTTAACGATTCATATAAATTAAATTTTTTTTTTTGCCTCCAATTATACCATGGTTTTTTGCCAATTAATGTTTAGTATTTCCCTTCGTTTTCTCTATAATATAACAGAAGCATATTTGTTAACTAGTTACGGGAGCTTAATTAATTAATAATTATACTTTCTGTACCGTTATTTGAATTAATTAATTAATTTATTTATTCACATGATGTATAATAATGTTCCATATACAAAGCATAATTATGCATTGTGCGTTACTTATAAAGAATAAAAGAAAACCTTTCTATGTACATTGAGATATTATTACATCATTATCATATCATCATTAATTTCTCATTATACCCATCATTATAGCCCACAAAATAATTGACTTTCAATTGGACTTTCATCACTACCCTATGCCATATATATAATTTAATAAATTAAATATACAATAAAATTAATATAGTAGATAAAAATGAAAATACTAATATGGAAAGTCTTAATATATAAGTTCACTCCTGGACAACCTTTCGACAATTTCTCTTTCACTTATTGAACACTTCGATTTATAAAATTATTCCGATTAGACATTTTAATTGGCATGTTGAATACTTCAACTTATAAAATTAGATCGATTAAATACTTATTAGATAGTTGAAAAATGTGAAAGTTGTTATTTTAAAAGCAGTATTAACAATATGTTCAATCAATATTTTACGTATGAAAGTCAAAACCTTAAAAATTTATTGTTTTTAGCATGACGAGACGTGAAATTATTATAAAAACAGAACTTGGGAGTGATATAAGGTTGCTTTTAATTCAGGGCCATGAGTAGCTTTTTTTGTTAAACTTTAAAAGTTAAATTATGTATTCAACCGTAGACATGAGAAAGTTTAATGCAAAATCATGTTCTAGTCTTTTTTTTTTTTCCTCGTCTTATAAAATATTTGTTTTCCTTAATTCAGGTATTTGAAAATTTATGTTTGTGATCTAAAATTTTAACTTTGCTCTCTGAGAGATTGCATCTAAAATTACTTTGATTTAATTCTACACTTATGAATGAACTTTACTCAGTGGGTTGAGTACTTTTTAAGGCTTTTATTTGATAATAATTATTTGAAAAAAATATATTTAGCTCGGTTGATATAACTTTCACTGTAACAGATTAAAATGTCTAAAATAACTTTAACATGTTCATGCTCGCAATATAAATACATAGGAGCATTTTAGATATTTTAGCCGGCCTCAATGAAAAATAAAAAATATGTCGAGCTCAACTTGAACCATTTAATATGACTCTAAATTCTTAATAGTATATTTATATGTCCAAATAATTTATTGCAGTCAAGAGATTTTAATATTTCATTACAAGTGAATATTTTTATTTCATGGTACATTCTAAAACTTGTTTCCATTCTGGCATTTAATTATGGCATGAGCTTTCGGCTAATATAGAAGCTCTTGTTATTAATAATAATTTCCATGGCTATTAAAAAAATATCATTGGAGGTTATATATAGCTTCTTGTTTAATTATAATAATTTCCAATGGCTATTAAAAAAATTATGCATTGAGGTTATATATAATATATATATAATATATATATATAATATATATATATATATATATTATATAAACAATTTTATGCACATATAGAAATCAATACTTATTTTTATTTTAAAAAATGAGTAATTATTTTTTTTTTTGAAAAAAATGAACACTCAATCAAGATTTAGAATAATTTTTCTATAAAAAAAAATGATTATCCCAATTTTATTTTGGCACCATTTAAATTCTCCTTAACATGGGCCCCAATCATTGCCTCCACTACTTTTCTCACTAGCCATCCACGATCCAGTTATGATCCATTCACAAACTCCCCTACTGGCTACTGCCAAACCTGGCCCGGCTCTCGTGGCAGAATGGTAATTTAAGAACAAATTCTGCCTAAAGTAAACAGATAAAAAAATTTGTGAAAAAAAACAGTGAAATGCATAAAATAAAAATAGATAAATATTTGCCCATATACTAAAACAATCAATTGAAATATTTAAAATAAATAGAAGTATGGATAACTTTTTTTAAAAATAATAAGAAATTAGTAATAGAATAATAGTTTTTTAAATGAAATAATTAGTATTAATTTAGTATACTAGATTTTTTTAAATATTTTTATTTTTGTTTTAATTAAAAATATGATTAGTTTATTGAACTAAAACTAAATTCTGCCCACGGCTGCTGGATTCACTACGGAATAAAGTGTTACCAGTAAATTTTTACTTTATTCATAAGAATCGGATTCTTAATAAGAATAATGTCTAACCATTTATATTAACTCGAATGAATATTTATTTTAAATATTTTTTATTTTATAGATATGGGATATGAATGGATAAGAAAAGACTGGTATTTTCCATTCTAACCTTTTTCTTTCGTAATTTTCACCATATTTAGAAAAGAAGATACAGTGGAAAAAGTACTCAAATTCCGTACTCCATTCTATATTTTATAAAATAACCACAGTAAAAGAAATGTAATTTTCTTTTTTAAATTTGTTTTCATTTAACCATGGTTAATTTATTCCCTCGAACCGTTCCTATAAAACCGCCCTGTCTCTCACTTCCTTCATCACTTGCAACTTCTCAACTCTCCACCCTCCTCTCCACATCTCTCTAAAGAGCTTTCCGTTTCAGTGCCTTTTAAGCTTCATTTCAAGCCTCCATTACTCTTTATCTCCCAGTCTTTAAAAACCAACCTGAAGCTCGTATCAAAACACAGCTTTCTTAGCCCTTCAAAAAAAAAAAAAAAAAAATATATGAAAGCCGTATCAAAACAGACAGCTTTCTTAGCCTCAATAAAAAAAAAAAATAGATATATACGACAAAAAAAAAAAAAAAGATATATACACACACATACATCAATAAATAAAAACCAAAAAACAAAAAAAAAAAAACATAAGAGTTCGTTTCTTAATTATCTTCTCTACATTTGTCAGCTACTCATCACAAAAATGTCCCAAGATTTCGTCTTTGAGTGTTTTTCTTTCCTTTCTCGAACTGGGTCTTCTCCATTTTTCAGTTTTGAGGTTGTTTTGTGTCTTTTTCTCTTCGTTTCCATTTTCTCTTTCTGGTTAGCTCCTGGTGGTCTTGCTTGGGTTCTATACAAAACCAAGTTTAATGTTCAATCCAAAACCGCCATTCCTGGTCCTTCTGGTCTGCCTGTTCTTGGCATGGTCTTTGCTTTTACTGGTTCTTTAACTCATAGAGTTCTTGCCAAGACTTGTAATCTTGTGAAGGCAAAACCTTTAATGGCGTTCTCTATTGGGTTCACTCGTTTCATTATCTCTAGCCATCCTGAAACAGCTAAAGAGATTTTGAACAGTTCAGCTTTTGCTGATAGACCTGTTAAAGAGTCTGCTTATGAGCTTTTATTCCATAGAGCAATGGGTTTTGCACCTTTTGGAGAATATTGGAGAAATCTAAGGAGAATCTCATCGACCCATTTGTTTAGCCCTAAAAGAATTTCTTCTTTTGGGGAATTTAGGACTCAAATAGGTCGAAAAATGGTGGATGAAATTAAGGGTTTAGTGGAAAAAAATGGTGAAGTTGAAATTAGGAGGATATTGCACTTTGGGTCACTAAATAATGTTATGAAAAGTGTGTTTGGTAAAAGTTACGAGTTCAGTGATGCAAAAGATGTTGAGGGTTCTGAACTTGAGGGTTTAGTAACTGAAGGTTATGAATTGTTAGGGATTTTTAATTGGAGTGACCATTTTCCTTTCTTTGGTTGGTTGGATTTGCAAGGAGTGAAAAAGAGATGTAGAAATTTGGTTGCTAAAGTGAATGTTTTTGTTGGGAAGGTAGTAGAGGAGCATAGGATCATGAGAAGGCAAGATAGAAATCATGAAGCCAATGAAAACGGTGATTTTGTTGATGTTTTGCTTGATTTAGAGGAAGAGAACAAGCTCAATGACTCTGATATGATTGCTGTCTTATGGGTATGTATATGATATTAAAGTTATTTGAACTTTTGCTATATAAATTGCATTTACTAGGTCTTGTATTTTTAGCTGTTTGCCTTGTTATATGCTGTTGTATAAATATCTATTATTGACATTGAATATGATTAAAGATGCCTTAAAGACTAGTTCCCTTTCTTTCTCAATCTAATCTAATCTTTTATCAACTGGTATAGATTCTCACTTGTTATCATCAATCATTTCTCTGGTTTTTCCTTTAGCAGAAAAATTTTTAATTTTGTGATTCTATCTATAGCTCTTTATATGAAATCTTGTGTTCTTTTCTTTTCTTTATAGAAAAACATTTTTTCTTGTATAGAAATCTCCAGGAAACTGTTATCTATATAGATTTTAGAATATGGTTCGTTGGTATCCAAAGAAGTTGAGAATCTGAATATTTTCTCTTTTTCTTTCTTGAAACTATTCTCTTTTTGTTGTCTATTTCTTCCCATGCTTTTCTCGCATATTTATTTCTTTTAGCACATATGAGTTTGTATACTTATAAGCACCTTAGCTAGCTAATAATATTAGTAACATTTTAATTAAACCTTTGATAACAATTATTTTATTTGTTCATTTCTTTTTTTCTTCCAGGAAATGATCTTTAGAGGTACTGATACAGTGGCAATACTCTTGGAATGGATTCTTGCAAGAATGGTAATACATCAGGAAATACAATCAAAAGCTCAATCTGAAATTGACCAAGTCGTTGGCTTGAACCGATTAGTCTCCGATTCAGACCTGCCTAACCTGCCTTACCTTCGAGGCATTGTCAAAGAAACCTTAAGAATGCATCCACCAGGTCCTCTTCTTTCTTGGGCAAGGCTAGCCATCCATGACACTCAAATAGGCCACTATTTTATACCTGCAGGCACTACTGCCATGGTGAACATGTGGTCAATAACTCACGATGAGCAGTTCTGGTCAGAACCTGAGAAATTTAAGCCGGAAAGGTTTCTAGAGGAAGACGTAGCAATCATGGGATCTGATTTAAAGTTGGCTCCTTTTGGTTCAGGAAGAAGGGTTTGTCCTGGTAAGGCTATGGGTTTAGCTACTGTCGAGCTTTGGCTTGCTCAGCTTCTTCAAAGCTTCAAATGGGTAACTACTAATAATGGAGAAGTGGATTTATCTGAGAAACTGAAGCTTTCTTTGGAGATGAAAAACCCTTTGGTATGCAAAGCACTTTCTAGGGCTTCTGCTTGATATTCAATATCATCAATAAAGTTTGGCTTGGCTTGGAGTGGATCTTGGATTGGTGTTGCTGCTTATTATCTCCTTTCTTGATTTTGGAGTCAACTTACTCTATACGGGGAGATGATAAAAATTAAAATAATTTTATGAAGTTTAGTATGGTTTGTGGGATTAATTAAGTTAGATTTTTTTAGGTAATTTCTAGTATTTCAGGGTTTGGTGTTTTTGTGTAAAAAAAAACAAAATCATGGTTGTTTAATACCTTATATATATTAGGTTTTGATTAATGTTTAATACCTTATAATTAAGCATGAAAGCTTCCTTGCACTTGTGTAATCAAGTTTGATATATATTTGAATGCAATATTAGTTTGTTTTGTGTTATACTTGCAAATTCTAAATATTTTTACATCGGATTAAGAAATTATTAATCCATAGTACTCATGTTTATGTCATGAATTGTTATTAAGGGAAGTTGATTTCTATATATATAATGTAAAATATATAGTCATGTGTATCTCATGAATTGATGTTAGGCAAGAACGAGCTCGCTGCCGTTAAGAATTTGGTTGCAGATAAAAATGTGTGAATAGGTTACACAACTTCTTTGACTCCAATATATATACTAAAAAAAAAGAATCCCTGCATTATATCTAGGTAGGAGATCAAATTTTTAATGACCAAATGTTCAAAATATGATGATTTTCCTTTTTTTATAGTAATGCCAAAGCCATGCATTTGTACTCTAATTTAATAATTTGGGATTGGTCATTATAATTATCATTATTTTTTAATTTACACGATAATGGTTCTTGACCTTTGTACATGAGACAGACAACAATTCAACTGCAAAAAACAAGAATGACAATGACTTTTTTATCATTTTGTAACCAATCTATAATGGGTTTCCAGAAATGCTCAGAAAAATTCTGGTTAGAGGAAAGTAGATCAGAAAAATGGAAAATACATGCATGTGGAATTTATATAAATACGAAATAGCTAGGGTTATAAATAGATTAGATATTTTAATCTAAAAAAAGGGATTACGTCTCTTTTAATTTACTCTTGCATTGTAGTTTTGTTAGATGAAATTAATTGCATGCATGATGGTCCAAAAACTATATATATTCTCAGGAATATATATAAATGTTGTATGTATATAAATTTTTATATGGGTTATAAAATAATATGCAAAGTTTATTTATTTTTTATATAGTTAAAGAATAATTCACATTTTTTATATAGAGCTAATAAATTATTCTCATCATACCTCCATCTCATTACATATGGACAATGTCATCAATTTGTCACCATCTATCTATATAATCTCCTAAAACTTGGAAAAAGAAAAAAAGAAAAAAGGAAAGGACAGCACTTGTAGCTTTTTCTTCTCCATCTATCTTTATTCTTACATGATTCCAGCATTTTTATCCCTTGAATATAGCCTTTTTTGTATGTGAAATAAAAATGGAAAAGAAAATAAAATAAATAATAGCAAACCCTAGCTAAGATTCCTAAGCTAAGGGTTCTAAATCATAAGCAAAGAATTTAATTTTATATTTATATTTATTTTTTCTTCTTTTATGATTTGATGAATCACATTTTGCAAAGAATTTTAAATGATTGAAGAATAAGAACCCTAAAGCAAAAAAAAAAAAAATGATATGGTTCATCTCTTTTATGGGGATCCAAATCCCTGCCAAGAATAATATTTTTTATTCATTTTTCGAGAAGCTATGGCAATGGAAGTGCTTGTGGAAAAAGCTTTGGTCCTTTTTTCCCACCTGTAAAGAAAAGATGCATATTGGATTTGAATATCCAAAATATGGCAAATTAGGGTTTCTCATTTATGGCCACAGGAATGCAAGTTGAAGAGGGAGTAGGCCTCTCTTCTTTATTTTTTTATTTAATTTTTAATTGATTCTATTTCGATTAATATCGTCACAGCTATCCCCATATATTCCTTTCCTCACTCTCAAGTTTCACTTTTCACCATCAAATTTTAAATTACATGCAAAATGCAAGAATATTTTTCTTTTTCATATATGTATCCCAAAAAAAGTGATTTGGCCATTTATATATACCTTATAAATAGCAAATACAGTAAATTTGCGTACCCGCATATCCGTACAAGCTTTACATTTATTCCATTCAATGACATAATAATTAATAATCCTTTTATAATTTCATGCAAACCATATAATTTTCTTGGGATTTTCTTTTTTAGTTTTTCCAGATTAGGGAGTTTGTAAATAAAGAAAAATAAATTCTCATGTATAAGTTAATTTTAATAATTTAGTTTTAATTAATAAAGTAAAAAATTTACCTACCAATTGAGTCAATTTAATTTTGAAATTTATTATTATCGATCATTTATTACATACGATTAGAATTTGAAATTATAAAATAATTAAACCTTCCATCGATAATTTAGTGCGAACGAATCATTATGCATCTAATTCACATTCTAACAATATCAAATATACTCTCTTTTATCCTTTTTAATATTTTTGATGAAAATAAATAGTGAAAATGTTTCATATAAAAGAATAAATAATGTATTTTATAATAAATATCAATGAAGCATCAAAGTATTCCAGTAAGGGTCATTTTTATGGGCTGCAAAGGGAATGTGTAATATCAGAAAAAGAAGGGTTATTCCCCCCCCTTGACCACCAATGGAATTTTCTCAAGAAAATCTCCTTGTCCCTCCTCCCTCCACCTCTCTTTTTTTTATCTTTCCCTAGACTACTACTCGAATATTACACATGCACAGTGCTTCATATAGAACTTGGAACCAGTTTTGGCTATAATATTATATTTATATATATATATTTTTTTTTTTAAAAAAAGGAACCTTTCTCTTTGCTTCGTGCTGTTTCTTTTCACTTTCGAGTTTTTCATCCAACAATTAACAGAGAGTGGAGAATATCTTTAATAATCTCAAAGTAAAAAAATCATTTGGTATAAGTCTTTTTTTTTTATGAAAATAGTATTGTGACACTGATAATAAATAGGAAGAAGTAAAAAGAAATATATGTTAATTAATTTTTTTTTTCAATTCAAGCCCTGTGGTGTTTTATTTTTTTATTTTTTTTGTTTTTGGTTACACTATAAGTGTCTCCTGGGTTAATTCTAATCTTGTTCGCACCGCATTAAGTCCACAAGGGGAACGACCTCCCAATAAGGATTTTCTCGATTCACAAGAATTAAACATTTAACATCTTATTTAAGGGACATGAGTCACTCGAACTAATCTTATTGGAACGAGATTTATATTGATGCCATTAACAAGTAAGGGTACAATCTAACACAGTTAGATTGTGCTAATCTGATATTGACATATTACACTTTAATTATGCTCTTTAACACAAGATTAATGCAGCCACATCAACATAAATTCACAATAAAGGATATCAGATTCCTGATTATTGATGGAATAAAAAGTATTTTGTGAGAGAAATTTTACAAACCCTAAGATAAAAAGTATAAAATTCTAGGTTTTTTATTATTATTATTTTTCCTTGACAAACCATAAAATACATCATATAGTTCAAAGTTGGATCAATTGATAAAAGAATTTATCCCCAATTTACAGACCAAATTAAGAGTTTTATTACTTGTGATGCATTCATATTAAGAAAATAAAACCAAAGTATAAATTAAATAAGAGACAAGAAAGTTCTTTTTTTTTCCATTTCATACCTAGAAAATTTAGAAAATTGTTGGAATTTAAAACTTTCACATTTTATATAAGACAAATCCTCCATCATTGTGTCCAATATAATTTATAATATAGAGAATCTTTTTTTTTTTTTTTCTATGAATCCCTAACTACTAGCAATACTAATACTATGAAACACAGCTATCTATTGTAGTTATCAATGATGCTTGAAAAGAAAAGGAAAAAAAAGAATAAAATGCTCTGATGAGAAGTGCCCAGATGACACCGACACCCAATAAAGAACTGTTTGTTGGTTTTCTGATGGGAAGAAATAATGCCAATAACAAAAATTTAAGGTAGGTATTAGTTAACTAGGGCATGGGTGCCTGCCTTTAGAGAGCCCATTCCATTCCTTTGGGCAGCAAAAATTTTAAGATTTAATTGATTAAATAGAATTAAGCTCACCAATTATATATAGGATTAGACTTGTTTAGACTTAGAGACACAAATCAAGTTTAGACAGATTAACTTGCGTTCAGTATAGGAGATATAGATTGTGTTCGATAATAATAAACTAAATATTATATTTTATAGTGTTTGATAACATATTTTCTTTCTTCTGCTTTCCAAATAAAGGATTAGTATTTTATGAAAAATTACTAAACCGTTAACTTTACTTATAATCTCGTGAGTGATCAAAGTAGTTGTATGGTAAGAATGGTATAGCTTTACACTGTATACGCAATTTGGTGAAGTAGTGCGCAATTTTGGCATAATCATGTGAGTAAGCATCATATCATATCATAATATTTATATATCATAATATTCTCTTGTTTGATGCTTCTCCAACATTAGCTTTCACATTTTAAACTAACATTTTCCTAAAAAGTTCCTTTTATGCTCCTATTGGACCACCAAAAATTAACCTTAAGAGATAGTGATACCTTCATTTAATTAATCATATCATCTATGGCTCAAGTGGTAACCCTTTTTTATTTTATTTTATTTTTCAATTTAGTGTATTCCAATAGATATTCAATCTTAATTTAGGATATAATTAATATTTAGTTATAAGAATGACTATTATTTTGGAATGTCATTTCTTTAAAAAGTGAAATTAAATCCCTCCTATATATATATAATCGGGAGGCTTCTAACTAAGTGCGTTTTCCTGATATAAAACTTGTGTTCTCCCTCTTACGGAAATTGAGATCGCTTATTAATTCAATTAACAAATTGTTAGTTAAAATACCCCTCTGTTAATGTTGAATGATTCATAATAATTTATTAAATTTTGGAAATATAGATGACCTAACCATTAATTTCACTCTAAACTTTTTAAACAATTGCAATTTTCGCCCTAAATGATCTTTACCCTAAGTACTCTCAACTTATTAAGCTAATTGCGATGGCACCCTTTCAATAAAATTTGATTTGTTTAATTGTAATGTGGAAGTGAAAGATGGGATCCACATGGCATGCCCTTAGTACAATACCTAATGATGCGTCTTCTTCATTATAATTATCTTGAGCATTATTATGTGATGGCAATGATGATTAGGACTCTCTCAATAATGATCTTTACGCGGAGAGAGATACACCACATAATTAATTTCTCATTATGAAAAAAATATATATATTAGTACTAATTGTTGCTTTATTTCATTTTCTTTTCGATCAATTTAATTTCACCATTCCTTTTCTTTTATTTGATAACTATAAGGTGATTACAATATGATTAATACCTCGAGTCAGTGCTAAATAGCTCTATTTGAACCTAGCACAACTTTTACTTTGGCAGCGCAAAATGCCTTCAAAAGGTTTAATGTGACGAATTTTGCTTGCAATAAAAACATGAGACATTTTAGACATTTTGTTTCGCTACTATGTATGGGGATTGACACCTGTCCAGTGCCGAAATGTCAAGGAAGCTGGTGATCTGATGACAGGAGAGTCGATGACCGAAGCCCCGTGAATTACGACCATAACTATAACGATCATAAAATAGTGAAATTCTTTATCAGTAAAAGTTGTGTTAGGTTCAAATTAGGCTAATTATATTTTCCGTAATCTATGTTGGTTCAAAAAATAAAAATAAAAATAAAATTTTCTATGTAAAAAATAGATAAAATGTACCAATATCAACATATATTGGAATTCATATTTTTCTCTTGTAAGTGAAATTGAAAGTTTATGATATAGTAAATATTCACGGAGTGATTGAGATACACATTGGTTAATTAAAAAAAATAAAAGGTTTTGGATGGATAGCGATATATTTTACCTAATAGTACCTGGGACCGTTGATTAAAGTTGTTGAGTTCCATTTTCAGAATCTTTTTACATAAAAGTGTTGTTCATAAGCAACATATATAAAATGATGTAGACCCTCCATCCGTATTTAATTAATTTAAATTTACTAAATCCTCTCATTCATCCTTTTTGTTTTCTTGCCTTAATTACCAATGCATATATGGTTAAGTAAAAGTTGAAATATACAATACTAACTAACCTTATCTTGGTAGAATAACATTGAAATCATTTCTAGAATTGTAAAGTTAAAAATGTGAATAGGGAAAGAAAATCTAATTCATCGGAAAATTTAAGGATGTGTTCAGTAATAAGTAGTTTTAGTTAAAACACTAAACATTATTTTTTATAGTTTTCGGTAACATAGCATTTGAATTTGAACTAACTTTTAGAAGTTAAGTTAGCGTTATATAAAAAACTAACTCCTATAGTTTTTAATGTTTTAAAAAAAAACTATTTAAACATCTGCTACCTACTTAAACAATTAAACAATACTAAAAACAGATAATAGTTATTAAAAAAAAGCTAATTTTACTGAACAAGTTATAACTATTTAAATCTTATGATTTTCTCAAACAATAAAATTAAAATTTTGATGTAAATTGTGAAAATACATACTCATGCATAATTCTTCAATCGATTTAATGATAAGGGATTTAAAACTTAAAATCAATCGAAACAGGTAAAAAATATGATAACATTGAATGGGTTGGTGCAATATTTATAGATAAAGTTTAATTTTACATACAATTTATTCATTTTTTTTTAATTTGAATTTAACTGGAGATTAAACTCGCAATCTTATAATTCTAATCCAATCCGACTGAAACAGAACTGATTAATAATTCAAATTATCAGAAGAACATGCAATATTAAGTTTGAACAATAATCAATGTCAAAAAAAAAAAAAAAAAAAAATGATAACAGAATGTATTAATTAATTCAAAATTAACTCGAAGAAACATGCAATTATAATTTGAACGAATAATCAATGTCAAAAAAAAAAAAAAAAATCTTGAGAACAATAAAAAAAAAAAAAAAAAAAAAAAGTTTGAACAATAATATTAATGTAAGTCAGAAAAGAGGGCTTAATTGGATTTTTTGCATAGACCTACCTAACAGTAGTAGATGAAAGAAATAGACTAAAGAAGTGCAATTTTCTAAAACAAGCTGACCTTCCAAAATTTGGTTATTTTATGCCTTTCAAAGGGACTTCTAATTATGATGGTTTGGTCATATATGCATAAGTAGTTGTATTAGCATGACCAACTTTGCATATATAATTGTTGGGAGAGAAGACTATAAGAAAGAGGAAATTTGGACCCTCAAACATTAAAGTTGCACTAAACTTTATGAGGATAGTGTTATTTTTAAGGGCATGGATTTTTTTTTTTGCACCACATATAAGTCCAATTTGTGATCAAGGTTTTTCTTATTAAAAAAACTCAACCATATCAAGCACTTTAATCTTGTTTTATTCATTGGTTATTAGTAGTAACAACCAAAAATATATTCAAAGAAGTTAGATATAACTTTAAATATTTGAAATTAATTTAATCCTATCCTAAGAAATTATATGGTTGGTATAACAAGTACTACTTTCATCTCATAAAAAAAAAAATGATCATTTTCCTTTATTATTTGTTCCAAATTATCGGCCATTTTCTTTTCTGAAAGCGGAATTGATTTCTTAATTTTCTAATAGAGTTGTGCTAAATGATCTAATTTGGATCTGACGTAATTTTCATTTATATTTTTTATTTATAATATACTTCTGTTCAATATGGCTTATTATCAAAAATTTTCTCATTTTATGGAATAGAAATAAGCCTATTTTTATGGAATGGGGCAATAATATATGTTTTGATTTTCAAAAGATGATACACTTACTACATCCACTAATACTTTATCCATTTTCCCTCTCTAGACCAAAATGAGAACCACGTTTTATCACTAAGTGATCTTGTTTTATTCATTTGGAGGCAAGCAAAATCAAACATGCATTAGGACTCATTAATTAGATAGTTGGAATTTAGGACCCTAAGCACTTTCGCTTATATAAACTACTTTTTGAAGTTGGTGAACCATCTTATCTATATTATTAACTCTAATTACTAAATACTTGTAGGTAAAAAAATTGGTCAGTTGTCTGTTCTTCGAGCTGGTCTCTTGCTTGGAACCTTGGTTTTCGAAGGGTTATTGTTGAATTTGATTGTTTGGAGGTTGTATGGTTAGTCCATTCAGAGTTTTTTCCTTCTCATCCCCATTAGCTGTTCTCATTTTGGATATTTTAGAATTTATTGGCTTGTGATTGAAATTGCACTCTTCATTATATTTTCCGTGGATCTAATTTTGTGGCTGATTATTTAGTTAGGTTGGTTTATTCTATTCTCTCCTCGTTTGTTCTTTTGAGATTCTAATCATGCTTGTTTGTCTTTGATTCTTTAGGCTGATGCTTGCAGCATTGTCTTTTTCAAATAGGTTTTTTTTTTGTTTTCTTTTTATTAAGAACATAATTTTAAGTATAAAAAAAATGAATTATTATCACAAATTAAACAAGAGTAATACAAATTTGTGCAAATTAACTAGTGCATTGTTCTTATATTATATTACCCTTCAGTAAGTTTTTATATTTAAAAGGAGAACAACATTGAAAATGGATTAATTAACATATGTAAATTCAGCAACTTCAATTAACTTAATTATACATTAATTAATTACTAATAACTAGAATTATACCATTGCTTGAGAAAGGTGTAATCAAAACCATAATATTCCAATTAGAAGAGAATTGACATATTTTTTGGGAGCATTAAAAAGTGTAATCCTACTTCACTTTAAAGAACAAATAATTGATGGTACGATCTGATACATAATTTATTAATTCAAATCATGTTGCTGCTAATCCAAACACTGTCTTAATTATATGAAGGGAATCCTTAATCTATATGGAACTTATTAATTATTTGAAAATCCTTAAGATGTTTAATTAGTACATTTAATTAAACAATTAATCATGTTTTTTTATTTTGTTATTATGTGTAAAGTGGGTTTCAGGTGAAACATTTTAATAATTTAGACAACAATATTATTATTATTATCAATTTAAATTTCTAATATATCCATTCCTTTGTGGATATCATTTCACACTCTTTTTAATGCAATTAAAGTATTTTCTTTTTTTTTCTCTAGAATTTAATTAATCTTCAAGGGTCCATTAGATAGTTTACTTATTTGCTTTTTAATAATAATAAAAAAATTTTTTGTCACATCTATTTCAATAATTGTGCATTTGTAATAAAATTTTATTTATTGAAAGCAATACTAGTACTTCCTTGGAGTGGATTATGTTAGAGATTAATAAAATTATGTGGACCGCATGTGTACACATTCTAGGGTACAACAACTTTCACTTTTGATGTGGCTAAATTTGTTCTCAAAAGGATAATAGATAGATAGTCCTAAAGAGAGTACCCAAATAATTTAAATACTTAATGTCCTTTCCCTCATAAAATAAAATAATTCTGAGGGTAAGGTACATTAAAGATTGGAATTTTTTTTTTTTTAATATTAGAAGAAGGGGATTCGTAATCTGAATCTATTGTCTAATCATAGATACACTTACTATTAAACTATATGTTGTGTGCATTAGAGATTGGAATTTGGAAAGGAAGGATTATGTATCGGGCCAAATAGTCCCTTCACAAGGGTTAAGCCTATCCCAAAATGAAGGAAGGGCTTCAACTTCAAATTTTTAACCCTAAGTAGAGCTAAGAAGATTTGGATTGAGAATGGATATTTCAAAATTGAAAAAATTGTATATACTTAAATGGATTTTTAAACGAATTTACGAAGGATTTGGGTATAAGTAATTTTAAAATTGGTGGATATTTGTCCCTTCCATCCTTTAATAAATGCGTTATGTGAATGTTAGGTTCCAATAATATCTATTAAAAAAAATTTCCCTCTCTCGATGCTCAAAAATAGCTTAAAATACAATTATATGTTAATTAGGTTTAGCTTATTAATTTACAATCTTTTCTAGAAAATATGAGGGTTTTGAATTTGAATTTTCCTATTACCTAATGAGTTCTCCAATCCTATAATGGGATTAGAAACGAAAGTTGGGTTATCCCATTATATAGCCCAAAATGCACCACCTACTAGAAGACCCATTGAAGTAAACTACTTGACCCAATTACGAAAAACCACTGTTAGATGTGAAGAAGGCTGAAAGCCCATAGAAGAAGCCCACTGTATCATAACATTATCATCACTTTAGGCTTGGACTCGAAGGCCCATACAGATTAAGCGCACTCTTCCTCTCCGAATCACTCTCTATGCAGAGAGGCATCTAGGTTTCCAATTTTCACCATTTCAGGGTTTTTGAGTTTTTTTCTCCTGTGTTCCTAAAGAAAATTGAAAATGCCTCCTTTATACTCTCTGCAGCTTCGTCGTCTCCTCCACCATTATTGCATCTCGCCTCCTCCTCCGCTATCATCCCTCACTCAGCCCAACTTTTCTTCCCATTTTGCCCCCACCAATCTCCACAAATTTCCATTATTGCCATTCTCTCTCTGTAAACCCTTCTCCTCTCAAACCCTAAAACCTAACAATGACCCAGATCCCATTGCTCAATCTCTATCTGCAGAGCTCGTCAAAAGCCCTGACACTGATTCCCTCGCAATTTCTCAAAGACTCAACCTCAATTTCTCTCACATCGCCAACTCTATAACCCCTTCACTGGTTTTGCAGACGCTCAATCTCTCTCCTGAAGCTGGTCGTACTGTTCTAGGGTTTCACCAGTGGTTAGTCACGGCTGCTTGTTTTAAGCACACAGATGAAACGATATCGTTTTTTGTCGATTACTTTGGTCGAAGGAAGGATTTCCAATCAACCCATGAGCTTCTTCTTTATGGGAAGAGTGTTATTGGTTCTAAAAGTTTGGAATCTGTAGTTGATAGACTTATATGGGCAGGGAGACCCACAAAGGTTGTTGGGTTTTTCGATAGAATGGAGAAAGATTATGGGTTTAAGCGAGATAGAGAGTCCCTTACATTAATAGTGAAGAAGTTGTGTGATAATGGGTATGCGAGTTATGCAGAAAAAATGGTAAAAAGCTTGGCTAATGAGATTTTCCCTGATGAGATTATTTGTGATTTGTTGATTAAAGGTTGGTGTGTTGATGGGAAACTTGAGGAAGCGAAAAGGTTGGCTGGGGAGATGTATCGGGGTGGCTTTGAGATTGGTCCAATAGCTTATAATGCAATTCTCGATTGTGTTTGCAAAATTTGTAGGTTAAAAGAGCCTTTTAGATTACATTCTGAAGCAGAGAAGGTATTAGTGGAAATGGACACTCGAGGGGTTCCAAGAAATGTGGAGACTTTTAATGTATTAATCAATAATCTGTGTAAGATTAGGAAAACTCAGGATGCCTTGAATTTGTTTTATAGGATGAGGGAATGGGGGTGTGATCCTGATGACACTACGTTTCTTGTTTTGATTAGGAGTTTGTATCAGGCGGCCAGAATTGGAGAAGGCGATGAGATGATTGATAGAATGAAGAGTGCTGGTTATGGGGATAAGCTTGATAAGAAAGCTTATTATAGCTTTTTGAAAATTTTGTGTGGTATTGAGAGGCTTGAGCATGCTATGAGTGTATTTGAGATGATGAAGGCAGATGGATGTAAACCTGGGATAAAGACTTATGACTTGTTGATGGGGAAGTGGTGTGCTCATAATCGGCTTGATAAAGCAAATGCTCTTTTTAATGAAGCTTTGAGTAATGGGGTGACAGTCACACCCAAAGAGTACAGGGTGGAAGCAAGGTTTTTGAAGAAGCCGGAGGCGGCTGCGAAGAAAGGGAAAAAGAGAGAGACATTGCCTGAGAAAACGGCAAGGAAGAGGAGGCGTCTGAAGCAGATAAGACTTAGTTTTGTGAAGAAACCAAAGAACATGATGCGTCGAGCCTTCTGATCACCTAGTGGGATTGTCAAGTGTATGTCAGTCTGCGTATTGAACTGCAGTGATTTCTTTTTGTTAGTGAAATTGTGTTTCAATTTCCTTGTTTCAAGTTTATGTTGGGAAAACCAGGAGTAAGAAGTAAGATTTTTGTTTTTTTTTTTTTTTTTAAAAAAAATTTTGTTTTTTTTTTTTTTTTTTTTAAAAAAAGAAAATCTCAGGCATACATGTACTTCAAATAACATGGCATATTATTCATTTATTGAAATTTAAATCATCTTATCTTACATGTGAACTATTTAGTACTCTAATCCAGCGAAAGTTGCTTGGTTTCTTAAATGTTAGTTTATCATTGCCGCCTCTGACTGTTTGAGTTATTATGAGCTTATTTTGCTATTGTTTGACGCAACTCGCCCGAGTTAGTGTGTGTGTGTGTTGTGGATGCGAAACTAAACTTAGAAATGAGTAAATTGCGTTGTAAAATATAGGGCCAATATTTAATACGGCCAACCTCATAACTTAAAACTTTTTTTCAGGGATCCTACTCTATTTCGGACCAAATAAGAGCGATTACGTTGTTCAATTCAAATTTTGCTTATAATTGATTAATGCATAACAAGTATTGATATGATGCTTTGTTTTTTTTTTTTTTTTTTAAAAAAAAGAAAATCTCAGGCATACATGTACTTCAAATAACATGAGCATATTATTTTAATTGAAATTAAATCATCTAATTTACATGTGAACTATTAGTACTCTAATCCAGCGAAAGTTGCTTGGTTTCTTAAATGTTAGTATCATGCTCCTTGACTAGTTATGAGTTATTATGAGCTTAATTTTGTATATGTTTGACGCAACTTCGCCCGTAGTGTGTGTGTGTGTTGTTGGATGGAACTAAAACTTAGAAATGAGTAAATTGGTTGTAAATATAAGGGCCAATAGTTAATACGGCCAAACCTCATAAACTTAAAAATTTTTTTCGAGGGATACCATACTCTATTTCGACCAATAAGAGGAATACGTTGTTCAATTCAATTTTGTTATAATTGATTAATGATAACAAAGTATGATATGATGGTGTAGAGATGACATAAAACAAACAGTTTTATAATATAGGCTTAAAAAATAATAGTCGTGTACAGTGATAAAAGCAATGTAAAATACATATTATAAAACTGCATCAAATTCTCAGCAAATTGGCCACATAAAAAAATTTGAAAAAAATTTGTTCCTAGATCTGCATATAAGCCTCAACTATCCCATGCCGTGTGCTTAAGCTTTACAGAAGATTTTGTGGAAAGCTCTGATCCAGCTATTTCCATTCATTCAGAGAGTTTCCTTCCAGAACCGTACCGATCTGTCAGTTCCACAAGAAATAAAAGCTGCTTCTGTTGGCGAGTGCTCAATCCAACGGGGTGCACCATTATGGTTCGACACCCACTTTGCCACTCTCTCTGCTGTTAGAGCATCCCAGATAACAATCTGCATTCATCACTCATTGATAAGAATCCGAGAAAAAAAAAAACAATATGATATGATAGCATAGCACTGCAAGTAAGGAAGCAAAGTAAACCTCATTGCTTGCTTCATCTATGGACAATACAAATTCTTCAGTGTCGTTGAAAACAGCCTGCGCAGAAACAGATTGAAACATTCAATATTTTGGCAAGAAAGTCCATAAATGTTTTAAGCAATAAATTTGGAACTTTCTACTGAAAAATATACTTTGAGAGTAAGAGTCAGAAATTTGTGTACTGGGGAAAAACTTGTTTCAACAGTTCTAACTGAGAAAATAGTAACAGAGGGATCTTGTTATTTGACTTGGTGAACATATTCAAATTCTCATGTATTGAAGGAACAAATGTATTTTCAACCAAGTTTTACAAATTCATCTTCTGAACACACACATACGGATAATAATAAAAAATCATATTTTCTATCAAGAATATCAAAGAATTGCATGCTTTACACAGGAACAGCAAATGCAACCAACATTTCTGAAAATCAGATCTGCTAAATGCTTCCTTCCTATTTGCAAACTGAGTACTAGCCAAATATGTGACATTACTGCACACAAACTACAATTCTCTTCTCCTGCGTTCATAAAATGTCTCCTATAGTTTTGCTATCAATTACACAGAATATATGAATTCACAATGTATAAGTGTCAATTTGAACTGGTGCCCTTCCTATATAGTGAGATTAAAAAGGGGAAATGCAAAACCGTCTAATTGCAATTTCTGGAAGAAAAATCAGCATACCTGGCACCTCAGTTGTGTATGTGTAGCTCCTAGATATTGTTTGACCAATCTCCCACTGCCAACCTCCCAAAGCTTAACAGTAGAGTCCTTCCCACAAGAGAGAACAAACCTAGACAAAGCAATCATTCTCAGTCAAGTCATAAATCCATCTTGAGGCACAATGCCAAGTCCAAAGAGTGAAGTCGTGTTTGATGTCTTAATACGTTAGTTGTGCGGCAAACTAAAGACAACAAAAGATCGATTGAAAAAGAACAAAACAAAAGAGAACAGGAAGATTGTTAGAAAACCTCATGCTTTTTATTCAGACTCGTTATACATTGCATCCCAAGACTACTTTGTTAACATTTTAAGGAAGTACTAGTTCACGCTCACTTCGAGAATTGCATCCTAATGCAAGGGATCTCATTTTATTTTCTCCCTCCATATTTCCCATTTTGATATGTTCTTTTTATTGTAGATTGTCCATTTAAGGAACTAAGCTAATGCAAAACCAAACGGAATGGAAGAAATGGATCCATGTAGCTGACTCCAACTAGCATGGCATAAAGTGCTTAGTTGTGGTATCTATGAAGGAATTAAGCTTGCAAGCCCTCCAGAGCACTAAGGATCAAAACATACATGCATGCACAGATTCATATGTACATGTAATTATTGTACAACAGCATATCTACCGTTGATCCTTTGTAAAACTTGCACTGGTGGCCTCTGCTGTTCCGTGTGCACCATCTATAGATCGCACACAATTTGCATTTACCCCATCCCACAACCGCACAGCACCATCTTTAGATGCTGTTACATACACGCCACCTGTAGATGAATACCTCACCTGCATAACCAAGAACACATAATGATCAACTTAATTTCCCTTAATTCATCTGATTCATGTGGATGTTAGATCAAATAAAACAAAAAAGGTACAACGTCAACCATGCCTGATTAATGGCTCCATTAGTTCCAATTTCTGGGGCATTAACAGTAGAAGATAGATAACACTGAAATGTATTGACATCATACAGGTGTGCAATCTGATGATCAGTTCCTACAATTTTTTAGGTCCAGCCTTATCAGTAGTCCAATCAAGCAAGGGTGTTAAACTTTCATCAATTAACTCTTGAATGAAAGTCGGAACACTAATTAAGGAGGAAAAATATAAGTTATCTAGTCAAAAAGTTAAAATGAACAGACAAAGATAACTGTTAAGCAGCATAATCCATATGGTGAGACTGAACTCAGCAGTAACAATCTGAAACAACCATGCACAACCTTCCCTCAGACCTTAAACTCTTCTTGAGTTCTTATTCCAAGTTCAGTTGTAAACTCATTATAAAGAAATAGAGTGGTGTAACATTCATGAACCCCTGTGAGTGGTCAAAAAGATATAAGACATAAGAAAATATATTGACAGAATCCTTTTTGAGAATGTTATAAATAATTAATAATATGAAAGGAGAGGAGAGTCAAGATAGTGAGGAAACAAAAGTTTACATGGTTCAGCCAAATGGTCTTCACAAATGGACACTAATCCCAAGGCTACACAGTATTGCTGAAAATTCTGTACAAGTACATTTCATACACAATCCCATAAACTAAAGAAACATAATTCCTCAAATTAGGGGTACATGGTTCTTCAAATTATGAATACACGATCCCACATTTTATTCCAAAAGAGAAAATTTAAACATTCCCTTACTCGAGTTAATTTTAGATAAATAAGCATCATCTAGCAATAGAAATAAAAAGATTATTTACTCTTATGTAATATTTTTATAAGGTCGCATACACTAAAGAGCGTGTTGCTAACCCTTACCAAGGAATGCCACAAGATACAAGTTTACTCAAAATTCATTCTTATTTACTATGCATAGTATAACTGCATAAAGGAACTTCTGAGCAGTACAAGACGAGATAAATCGAAGATATATGAAGGAGTTAGTAGCTTGGAAATTGTACAGATCAATTGCCTTAGAAAGTTCATGGTGAAAGAGATCTACTGATTTCTTGTAATATTTAGATGAAATAGAAAACAAATCATAAAATCCAAAATCAAATATGTTTGAAAAATAAAATATATGAAAATTATGGAATTACCTGCAAGAAGGAAATCCCCAGAAGGATGGAAAGTCACAGACCTAACGTTGTGAGTATCCTGTGTCATTATACAAACTCACAGCAATGCATCAATGTGTTTTTGAGACATCAATCCACCAGAAAACTTAAGAACCTTGCTTGGGTCAATAACAAAATGAAGACAAAAGACCTGGATAACTCTGAATGCTCTCTTTGCAGTAGCTTTGGAAAAGTCAAAGAATCTGAAAAGAATAAATAAGCATTGTGTAAGGCGCAAGTTCAATCTGAGGTCAGTAACAGCTCAAGTCGGCAATGTTTAGCATACATATAATGAATTTATATGTATAGATGTGCATGCATAGATGAAGAGAACTTCTGGTTGAGTGAAGGTGTCATACTTTATTGTGTGGTCCTTGGCTCCTGATATAAGAATAGTACTCTGAGGGTGGAAGTCCAAATCATTTATTGGCTGCAATTATATTGACAAGACATTAGATGACATGGGACTGAATCCAAGAGGATTTTAACCAGGAGAAAATATACAAGTAGGGAATATTATGGCCAAGTTGTAATTCCAGTTTAAAGATATAAATTTCAGACAAAACTTATAGTGCTGTGTCATGACCATTCCTTGAGCTCAATAAAGGCAATCTAGAACAAATTCTGAGCCTTGAAATACACTACACAAATAATGGACCAACATAATGCTTAATGGGAAAGATGTGTAAATTCAGAAAAAGCAAATGATTGGTGCTGAGGATTTGAAGCCATATAACTTAGATTTGGAGGTCAGTTGAATGTAATAGTGATTGCTTTAATGCAGCATATGGTGGATGAAACACAAGGTAATCACTCATGGTCAAAATACTTGTATATGATCATAAAATGTCCTTATGACAGGTCGGACGGGACCATCCCTTGCATCTGACAGCAGCATCTGCTTGATTTTTGAAATCTGCACAAAGGACAAGTGCTTTGGATGTATGTAAGATTATCATTGAAAATAAACTGCATAACCAAAATTGGGGAAAAATCAACACCTCAAATAGCTTAATTGATGTGTCTGCACTTCCAGTAGCAACAAACCTTCCATCAGGACTAAATCTTGCACATCTCGCAATATTCTAGAAAACTTAAACCATCAGTTTGCTAAAATTATGACTTGAATATTCTCAGCCACACTGCTCTACTGCAGAGAAGATGCAGAATTTTTTTGTTCCCCCTCTAATCATACCTTGTGCTCAGAAAGATGCCGTGTCTCATGCTTCGGAAAATTTTTTGATGAGCCTTTTGTGTCCTGCAAGGCACTGATTGGACAGGAGAGGATATGAACTCCTTGGGGTTAATTGCAGGTATAACAACTTTTTAATCAACAAGGTCAAAGAAACACTCAAGTTCCTCAGTAAGAAAGCAATGGCCAAATTTTTAATCCTGAATAGAACAATTAGGCCAGGTCAAATGGCTAAAATGTAAATTACCTAAAATCAATGGAAGCAACACGGTGAGCTGGGATTGAACCGTAAGCTGCAGGTACCAGCGTGCCCAAATCATACATTGGAGTGGAAGTAATCCCTCTTAACATCTCATCCTTTTCTGCTGCAAGACCCTGTTGTCATCTTAGTATCCAAAATTTCCACTTCCTTCTTTATCCAATTACCATGTAAAATTTAATTAAAAACACAGAAAGGAGAAAAAAAATTGTAAGTAAGAACCTTAGCAACCAGCTCAAGAAGCTTATTAGGCGGAGCCTCCACATTCAATGGTGTCATTGTGGCTGATGCAACTGCACTTGCAGCCTAAATAATATAGGTTTTCATTAAATTCTCTATAAATCACAACATAAATTCAATAAATCACACGTCTTAGTACTACTTTGTGAATATTTTATTGCTAATCAACTGAAGAACAATGCAAAAATACAAATTTAAAACCCTAATCTTTCTTTCAGCTAAGAATTTGCAGTTATGACAAAACTAAGGATCAAAAATTCCATCAGACTATGTCAAGAGTTGCAATGCTAACTGAAATAAGAAGGAGCAAAAATTCATACACACCTATGCTCTTTCACCTATGCTCTTTCTAAAAACTTCTAGGCAAGCAAACAGGGAGAAAAATGTTACCTGTGTAAGACTGTTGTCGCGAAGATGAGCAACTATGAGGGAATTGATCTGTCGACGGAGCTTGCCATCTTGCAGTGTCTGCTCCAAGCTACTATTTTCCATTTTTTTTTAAATTTTCTTTTTCAAAGAGTTTCCCGCTTCTATTTCGCAGCAAATCGCTTAAACACCTAAAACCCTAATTAAAGAAGGGAAATGAACTTGCAGAACCTCAAAATTAGGAAATTTCCAGCTTCTGCTCGCGATGGAAAAGTTTCCGTCTTATTTACAGTCGAGACGCAAAATTTTTCCTGTCGTATCGTCCCCATAATTGTCTCCTCCCTCCCCTCAATAATAATGAAAACGATAATTTTAAATAACTTTTTTATTCTTAAAAGCAACAATAATTTCAAATTTTACTTTTTAATAATTATTTGTCAAAAGTGTTTAATTGTTGAAATTCGATATTTGCAAAAAATAAATAAATAAATAAATAAATAAATAACCTTCAAAATTTCAGGAAGATTATCCAAGCTTATCTGCTCGCCGATGGCAAAAGTATTTCCGTCTTGTTATAAACGGGTTGTTCACGTTATAGAGACCAGCGATACCTTACCGAGTCGAGACGCGAAAATATTTTCCTTCGTATCGTCCCATAATTGTCTGCCTCCCCTCCCTCACATAATAATAGAAAGACGCTTAATTTTAGATAACATTTGTTGATTCATATAGAAGCACCAATCAATTCATGCAAATTTATATCGTTTTATAATTATTTATGTCAAAAGTGTTTAATTGTTCGCAATCGGATATTTGCAAAAATAAATAAAGTGAAATAAATAGGATAAATGATATATATATATATAGTATATAATATGATATATATTAAAAAAATTTAGATATCAGTACTTGGAGCTAGGAGATAAAAATTTTGCTAGAAATGTGCGAGTGTGTTTTTTTTTTATATTACTTTTTTTTTTTTTTTTTTTACATTTTTTTTTTAGGCTCCTTGTTGTTATTTTTTTTTTAATAATCAAAGATAGCTTATCTTTAGCCTTAACGATTATGGTATTATTTTTAAAAAGTAAAAATTTAATATCATACTTGAGTAGAGATAAAAATTTTCTAAAAATGTATAATAATCAAAGATCTTATCTTCTTAACATTATTATATTTTTAAAAAGTATAATATCATTTTCTATATAAATTCACTTTCTAGATGAAATTCACATATTTAAGAATTAAATTTTCTATATATATATATATGTGTGTGAAATTCTTACATCAACTAAATAAAAAACTCGAATTAATTTGTGAGCAAGTTTAATTTATTTTTTTTAATTACTGATAATGACTCATAAAAAGAACATATTATTTATGGGGAAAAATAAAAATATTTTGAATGAAAGGGGGAAAAGAATAATTAATACAATCTTTAATTTGTACTGAAGAAGAAGAATACAGCTGTTATTTGGAATTAAAAGTGCAGGCAGCTCAAGTTATCTTGTTTGGTGAGTCATACATAATTTATTATTACCCTAAATGATTAAAAAATCTCAATTTTTACCCTTCTTATAATCTTATAAACTTTTTTAATTTAACCACCGATATTTTATATTTTATTTATCACAATAAATATTTCAATTAACAATGCTATTAAAACTAATTAGTACACATTAATTACTGCTATTGAAAATTAAGTCTATTTATGAATAAAAAAACTTGAATTTTCTCTAATTAAATTTTAAATTTCTATATCATGTAACCTTAACCGATCAATCAAAAAATTAGAGCTCTTGATTTGAATTTTCTAACTAATTTAATAAATGATATTCATCGAACAGTATGTAATATTATTTTGATATTCATCTTTAATGAATAAAAATAAAAATAAATAATTAATATTTCAATAAGTATTAGTGCTTCAATTGTTTAAATAGAATTGACACATCCAAATATTTGGTAGATTGATGACTTGAATTAATATGATGTGAAATCAAATAATTGACTAAGAAAATTTAAGCAAATTATTATAATAATTAAATAAATAATTAGGTGGTTACAGCAAGATTTAGACAACAAACGAAGAACACAAAATCATTTGCCTATCAGGACATTGTCTTATTATCTCCACCGACAGTGAGGGAGAGGGTGCTTTGGTCCAATTCCAAGCCCATTCTTGTCGGTAATTGCACTTGTTTTTTCTATTATTTTTTATTTTTATTTTTTTACTTTTTTTAAAAAGCTTTTTATTCTTTATTCTGTAATCCGACTTGCTTCCACATCAATTATTTTGGTCTTATGCCATTATTGTCCCTAGCCACTCTTTCAGTATTCTTTTTTCAATGAAAATATTGTATTTTTTTCACCCATATTTTATTTAAATATAAAATTAATCTCATTTTGTAATTTATAATTGTTCTGTTTTTATAAGTATGTTATTAACTCTGCTATAGAAATCACATGTGCAAAAATAAAATTAAAGAAAAATAATTTTAATAAAAATAGAAGAAAAATATTTTTTATTTGTTTAATAATTAAAAGATATAATCCAAATGAGCAGTTTAAGAAATATTTATCTATTTTTTCTATAAAATTATAAGGCCAAAAAGTTTTCACGCAAGTGCTTAAAAATTAAAAATCTCTGCAGGCCTATTTTAGTAATTTAACATGGATGCCGCAAGGCCAACAAACAGTTGAAGCACATTAACTGACTTCTTTTGTAGGGTAAAGATTTATTAAAAATTATACAGTGGCTTTATAAGTCTATTTGACAGCTTGAGCTCAGAAGAGCTTTCTTTTCTTCCCATGTGAGAAGAAAGTCCACAAATTCCATGTCAATAGCTCTCTCTTTCTCTCTTGTGCAGATCTTGAGCTAACCCATAAACATAAACATCAGATTTAACCACAAATCAACATTTTTCAATGGAGTCACACTTCTCTTTACTCACTGGATCTGTTACTAAGCTCAGCTCCTTTACCATTTTCCTTGTCTTCTTGCTTTCTTGCTGTACTTTCACTCCTATAGGTCAGTCTGTTTTACTTTCCATGTATTTATATTTTGTTTTGAAATTCTTTTCTTATTTTGTGAATTCGGTTTTGCTTGGTTACCAGAAAGGTTATCTCACTTTCACTGATCCCGACTGTTTAAGAAGGAGACGTGTGTTGGAGATTTGATTGTTGAAATTTAATAATTTGTATGTTTAGATTCTAATTTGGTGAAATAAAAAACTGGGTTTCTATTAATAGTTAGAAAGTTAAGATCTTGGGTCTATATAAGCATACAAAATTTAAAATGGTAATATGGGTTACTATTGGATACTTTGTTATCTTTTTATTTAGTTAATGTTTAGATTTATTTGTGATATTGACCGCTTAGTCACTGGTATTGTTTTTCGCTTAATAATTAGCTGTACAGTATGAGAATCTTGGAAAATTATAATTAAAGTTTTCATCTTTGGTTGATTTATATATTTGCAGAAGCCTATGACGCTCTTGATCCAAATGGGAATATCACTATCAAATGGGATGTGATAAGCTGGACTCCAGATGGCTATGTTGTAAGTATTAGTAAATGATTCAGTTTTATGTACATATTCTCATTGACTTGCTCTATGCATGTGAAATGTTGGAGTGCGATTCAAATCCAGTTGTAAATTTTCCCAAAGTATGTTGAAATAATTTACCTATGAGTTCCGAGTTTACTTCCTTACAAGCTTTGATGTTTTTTTAGTTCCATCGAATCAAGTTGAGGAATCTCATTAAATCAAAATAAGATGTCAACATGTTTTCTCCCTTAGTATGATATAATAAAGACTTTCTTACTTTAACATTTTCTAAATTACTTTTGAAAATCTTCTATGGATTAGTAGAATTCAATATGGAATTCCAAAGGTGATTGTTTTCGATCCCTTGAAGTTCCCAACTTAAATACTGAATTTTCTAATGTGTAATGTCCTTTTCACTTGTGTTTGACAGGCAGTTGTGACGATGTATAACTTCCAGCAATATCGCCACATTCAAGCTCCAGGTTGGACATTAGGTTGGACATGGGCGAAAAAGGAAGTAATCTGGAGCATGGTGGGAGGCCAAACCACAGAGCAAGGGGATTGTTCAAAATACAAAGGAAACGTTCCTCATTGCTGTAAGAAGGATCCAACTGTTGTGGATTTATTGCCCGGAACTCCCTACAATCAGCAGATTGCAAATTGCTGTAAAGGAGGGGTATTAAATTCATGGGCACAGGACCCTGCTACGGCAGTAAGCTCTTTTCAAGTTAGTGTAGGTGCTGCTGGAACCTCTAACAAAACAGTTAGATTGCCAAAGAACTTCACCTTGAAAGCACCAGGGCCTGGATACACTTGTGGGCCGGCAAAGATTGTGAGACCGACCAAATTTATCTCGAGTGATAAAAGGAGATCCACTCAAGCTTTGAGTAAGTTATAAGCTAATGTTTCAAACAATTTAGAGGTTCATTAACATAATTTTTTTTTCTAGACTGGATTGAATAACCAACCTGCTAATCTAATACGGACATTTTGAGCCTGTGATGGTGGTTAATTGGCACCAGGAATATCCTCATAAATTAATTTGCTTGCATTTGTATAATTTATCTTTCACCAAGAAATAACTTCATGTTGTTATACTGAAATTTTTATGGACCAAAGATTGAATTAGTGTAATCAATACCAATATTTACCGTCCTCAGTATATGTGTAATATGATTTTCATTATGGCCTAACAACTTTCTGGGTTTATCTAACGTTAGTTGCATATCATGGCAGTGACCTGGAATGTTACTTGTACATATTCACAATTCCTGGCTCAGAAGACACCCACCTGTTGCGTTTCTTTGTCCTCCTTCTATAATGAAACAATAGTAAGCTGTCCAACTTGTGCTTGTGGATGTCAAAACAGCACCACAGGAGCTGGGGCTGGGACCTGTGTGAAGTAAGTTTTATTATTTTTTTGCTTTATGCTTATGTTACCTTCCCTCTCTAGAATTTTTAGACATGGTTATGGTGAGATTGACCTAACTCTTTTCTTCTCATTTGTTGTCCTCACAGTCCTGATTCTCCGCATTTAGCATCCGTGGTTAGTCCAACCAAAAATGACAATACACCTTTAGTGCAATGTACCAGCCATATGTGTCCAATTCGAGTACATTGGCATGTTAAGCTCAATTACAAGGAATACTGGCGGGTGAAGGTCACAGTCACAAATTTCAATTATCGAATGAACTACACCCAATGGAATCTAGTTGTGCAACATCCCAATTTTGATAACCTCACTCAGATTTTCAGCTTTCATTATAAACCACTAACTCCTTATGATGGATTAAGTAAGTTATATCTTGCAAGAATTTGTCTCTCTGCCTCTGTTGCTATCATTTTTGTGTCTAATATGAATTCTGGGAAATGAAATTATGTTTGCAGATGATACAGCTATGTTATGGGGAGTTCAGTTCTACAATGATTTTCTCTCACAAGCTGGTCCTCTAGGGAATGTACAATCAGAGCTGCTATTCCGAAAGGACAAATCAACTTTCACTTTTGAAAAGGGATGGGCTTTCCCTAGGAGGGTTTATTTTAACGGTGATAATTGTGTCATGCCCCCTCCGGATGCCTACCCATGGTTACCAAATGATGGTTCCCGTCAACTTGTCTCTCTGTTTCGTCCTATCATGACATTCTTGGTTTATATTGTCATCATTTCCGCTTGTGTGTGACAAAGCATTTGAGGCAAACGACTAAAGCTAAATGTTCTAACAAGCTGTACTGGCTCTGGTATGACCTACCTTGGAACATAAAAGAAGCTGGTTTGTGTGATCAAACGTGACAAGTGCTGCAAGTTATGCAACACTCGGTGCTCCAAGAGAAACATAGCTTGTTATACGGGTATAGGCAGTGGTGTACTCAGTTTATGAATTGGCAATTAGAATTCTTTTTTTTTTTCCTACAATTTTTGTCGGGTGATAGCTGTTATTCTATATGTTCTTTTATTTGATAAAGTAAAACTGTACTTATGTTTATGGTTATTTATGATAAACGCTTAAAATATTTGTCTGTAGTATATTCACAGCATGTGTTCTTATTGTAATAAGAATTTACAATTGATTAATGCATTTATTCCTATCAATATGTTTGTCTGCAGATTTATTTTCTTTACTTCTATGGCTGATGCTACAAAAACTAGAAATGGCAGATGGGAAATAGAAAATGAAACATATTTGATTTTTTGGAGATGCTCTATGGGTGTTTTTGGTATGTATTGTAGCTTTTACATAATTATTCACTAAGATAAAAGATTTCTCCAAATGAACCATCAATATGGCACGCTTGAACACATGTTCCTTTTAATCTGTAGATGAGAGTGAATAATGGTTTTATATACCTGTATTAAAAAAATATTCTGGCTTTCAAAACTGCCCTGCAATATCTGTTACAAAGAGATTTGAGCATTATAATTTCTCACCATTGATGATTCACCACCAAAGTGATAGTAAAATCAAGACCAAAGAAGCTGCAATTGTCGAAAATGCAACTGTATTTGAACATGCAGAGTTTGGCAGATATGGGTATGCATCAGGTGGTGGCAGCTTGCATTCATCACCATTGAAGTAAACTTTCCTGGGAAATGCCCATCCCTGCTTCAGAGTAAAAGTGCTCTTATCTTTCCGAAGAAGCACCTCGGACTGAACATTTCCGAAAGGACCAGCTTCCATTAAAAGGTCATTATAGAACTTCATGCCATAGAACATACCAGTATCATCTGCACAAATATCAGAAAACTTCATCAGCATTTTATCTGCAGGTGCGTAGTTTCTGCAACTAAACTTGGAAAGTATTTCAGGTGCTGACTTATCGATTCGTAGGGTACAAGAGGCTTGTAATCAAAGCTGAAAACTTGTGTGACATTATTGAGATTAGGATGCTGAACAACGAGTGTCCACTGTGTGTAATTCAGCCGGTAGTTGAAATTAGTAACAGCGAGCTTTGCACGCCAGTAGTCCTTGTAGTTGACCTTCACATGCCAATGCACTCGAACCGGACACATATGATGTGTACATTGTAGCAATGGTGTATTATCCTTCTTTGGTGTGTTTATTCCTTTTTTATGAGCTTCCTTGGAGTTACTCCTGCAATTTGATTATTCAGAAACAAGATCAGCTGCTATTTTTATAAGATAAACCAATTCTACAATATTGAAATGTTCTTTACATTATACAATTGTGCTTGTTCTGGCAACCACAGGCACAAGAAGGGCAAGGAGTGATTGTCTCATTGTAGAAAGACGAAAAGGAGACACAACAGCTCGGATTCTTGGAGGCTAGAAACTGTGAGTAAGTGCATGTTACATTCCAAGTCACTGCATAAAGATAGATTCAAACATTACATTAGATTGCTTTCCATTATCTAAGAGATAAAGAAAATTTCAAAAACTTACTGAGTGCTTGAGTTTTTCGCCGATTATCAGGTGTGAAAAATACAGTAGAGGGCACAATCTTTGCGGGGCCACAGGTATAGCCAGGTCCAGGACCAAGCAAAGTGAAATTCTTGGGCAGTTTTACTGTTTTATTAGATGTTCCGGCGAGTCCAACACTGACCTGAAAGGCTGAGACTGAAGATGAAGGGTCCTGTCCCCAGGCTGCAACTACACCTCCCTTGCAACAATTGGTGAATTGTTGGTTATAAGGAACTCCAGGCAATAAGTCCACAACGGTGGGAGTTTTCTTGCAGCAATGTGGTATGTTTCCTTTGAACTTGGAACAATCTCCTTGTTCTGTTGCCTGAGCTCCCACCATTGACCATATTACTTCTTTTTTAGCCCATGACCATGACAGAGTCCAGCCAGGACTCATGATATGCCTATACAATTGGAAGTTGCTCATGGTTACTGTAGCCTGGAAAAAATAAAAAGGCAAAGGACAAGAAAATTTATTGTTAGAATTATGTTTGAACACTGGAATTCATTTCTCGATCCAAGAAAGATTATCTTGCATCTGGATATATAGAAATTATGATAAATGAAAATGTATAATTAAGAAATTCTCAAATTAGAAGAATTAAACTGAATTCTATGTAAAGGTTTCGGATGTAAATGAACAATGAATTCAGTTTATTTATTTGTTTAAAAACAACTAACCATATTAAAACTCCAAGAAGCTAAATTAAAAATTATAATATTTACATAATTTAGGAATGAGTGCAATTAATTAATTTGAATTCTTGTAAAATCAAATCTTAAAATGGTGTATTTACTTACTTCAAAATCATTTATTTTTTGGATCGAAATAACTGGATTTTATTAATTAGCTTTTTCTTTTTATCAAAAAATGAGAATTGGAAAAATAGAATTCAATTCTTGGAAAGTTTGCAAATTGATTCTAAGGTGCTGTGGCCATGAATTTTTTAAAACTGACCAAGCAGTCCAAAATTATAGAGGTACTCTCCAAGAACCTACTAAATAATAATCATAATACTCACCACATAACCATCTGGTGTCCAAGACATCACATCCCATTTGATGGTTATGTTCCCATTTGGATCTAATGGGTCATAAGCGGCTACAATCAAGAACACCAAAGCAAATAAACATTATAACAATATTAAAAACATTAAAATTAAAATTAATCTTGAACAAGAAAAGACATTCAATTCCAATAGGTTGAGCAAGAAAGTTTACCTGAATTAGGCAACATCAAGAAAGCTAAACCAACCAAGAAAATGAACTTCACTTGACCAAATGAGGGCCAATAATGCCATTGGTGATAGTTTCTTGATTCTAAGGCAATACATTTATGGTCTCCCATTGCCGGAAGTTCGCTGGATAGGTAAATTCCAGGCAAGGACTTAGAGATTACAGATAGCAATTCTGAAGTAGGAGTGCATAATAAAAAGAGAAAAAAATGATAAAGAGAACAGAATAGATTGAAAATGAAATTAACTTAAAAGATGTCTCACCTACTGGTTGTTAGGTGCATTACGATATGGTTTGAATTTTTTAAATCTATTGAATTCTGATACACACAACACCTTAGTTGAATTTTTATAAATCTGGTTAACAAGGTTACTGGAACTTGAAGCAAAATTTTGGTGAGAAATGATTGGAAAAGGTAGCTGCAGGCGGGAGATATTGAGAGGTTTGAATATAACAGCTCAACAGTCTTTTCTATTACAGAATACATACCCACATGTATTTACACTGACAAAAACATGCCTGTAATAGACTGCTTTGAACACAAGTTTTCTGTTAGGTCTGGTTCCTGCAAATGTTGTCAAAGAAAGACAGACTCGTAGGGTTTGGATTCTTGATATCGTGTGCTATATATGAAACAGGTGATAGACTATTTAGCTACTTCTAGTTCCTTTTAAAATTATCAAGAAAGAATGCTTCTAGGTACTTATAATTTCCATTAACATTCTGAAAGAATGCTATTATTTTATTTTTTTGATACTTCACTTTGTATTTTTCAAATTTTTATTTTGGATCCTTGAAGTCTATGAAGTCTAGATACTTCACTTTGTATTGGGTAGGCAAAGTTTCTCCATCCTTGCCAAAAACTGAGAATTGGTTAATGGACCAAAAGAAATGAACATTGCAGAATTGGTATCTGGTAAGTAGTCATCTATCCAATAGATTGACCAAATTGTCATCTTACCTAATTTTTCATGGAAGTAGAAAAGTTAAAAAGAGTATACAAAATCTTAATATATCATCTTTTTGGAAATTTTTTTATATAAAATCTTTATATATTATCTCCGTGAAATTTTTGACATCATTTGATCAACGTAGTGGATTATAAAACAAGGTAGCTCTCCCCTTTTAATAACATTCTCTAAATTATAATGCGAATATAAAACCATTAACTCACTTCTTTCATATTGGATCTGGAGAACTAATCAAACCACCTGGTCTTTGAACTCTTTTATTTTTTTACAAACGTAGTTATGTGGTGACAAGTAAAATTTTAAATTAACTTTAACACTTTGTTTGGATTGATGTGTTTTTTTGAAGGAATCAAAATAAATGAGGTAAACAGATATCCAAAGTAATTTTACCTTATTTGGAAAAGAAGGAAAAACAATGAAGGAAATTTTTTTTTTTTTTTTTTTTTTTTCTACATCAAACCACCTGGATTCCTTTGAAACTCTTTTGATTCTTTTACAACGTAGTTATGTGGTGATCACAGTAAAATTTTTATAATTAACTTTAACCCACTTTGTTTCGGGATTGACTGTGTTTTTTTGAAGGACATCAAAATCAAATGAGCGTTAAACAGAATCCAACAGTAATTTTAGCCTTATTTGGAAAAGAAGGAAACACAATCAATGAAGGAAATTTCTTTCTTTTTTTTTTTTTTTTCTGCTTTCCCTGTCCAACATAACAGATTTCTTCATTTTCGGAGAAAATACGATAAATGTTGAAGTTTATTTCAATTCTATGCCAATTATCATTTTTTTTTTTTTTTTTTTTTGCTTCCCTGTCTCACATAAATAGAATTTCTTCATTTTCGAGAGAAAATACCGATAAAATGTTGAAGTTTTTTCAATTTTTATGCAATTATCCAAATACTCCAACTTGATATCCAAAAGCTCAAACTTCTAAAATCGATGAAATTGTATTTTTATTGAAACGACAGGTATTTTTGACAGTACATTTCAAAAAAAAAATAAAAATAAAAATAAAATCAGGACAATTTTTAAAAAATGCTTAATTTTATTTTTTTAGTTCATAAATAAAGTTATAGACTCGGTATAGGCAAGTTTTTTCTTATACGCATCGATTAAACTATTAACATGCTAAGAGTAGTAGTTTAAGCTTCTTGTCAATTTGAGGGACAGTTGAGAAGCGGGATTGAAGGAAATTAGGTGTAATGGTTGCACCATAGTTCTATGATGAGGAATTACCTTTGCCTAAATCTGGTTTACAGGCTCACAAATGATTTAAATCAATAAAAAAACAATTGTCTCTTGAAATGAAAATATCTGTGATTATTCATTAAAAAAAACAAAGAAGACAGAGTGAGAATAATTTTTAATAAAATATTATTGATTTGGTATATCAATGAATCTATAAACTGAGTTTAAGCAAATTTAATAATTATTATCAAAGATAATGAAATGATGTTTTTAAAAAGGGTGGTTGATGTTGATGACGAAAAATTTGTGTGGTTGGTTAAGTCACCATGGAGATTTTATTTCATGAAGGTGAAAAGTAATCTTATTACGGCAAAAGCTTTGGTACCATATAGAAAATATAATATGTATGGAATTCTGAATTCCGATCCTGCAGCATAAAATTGAAAGAAAGATTTATAGAACTGCGAGTATAACAAGATCTAGAGTCTAGCCTTTAAAATTTCTACCTCAATTCAATTTTTGTTTGAAATTTAAGATATTTTGTTTGAATTTCAAACTTAAGCGATCTGAAATTCATTTCCATTTCAAATATTTTGCCAAACAAAACCAAAGGGGGGAAAACCTTTGCGTTTTCATTTTTCAAGCACCCGCCCATTTTACAATCCCACATTATCGATATCCGCGACAATGTGCCATCCAACGCTCATTAATCTAAACGCAACCACTCCCACGGATCACCTCCCAATCCAACGGCCAACGAGACTCTCTCTCCTCCTATAAAAACATCACAAAAATACAATCGACCATATCACATTGCAATCACAAAGAAATCGAAATCGAGATCGAAAGAAATGTCAGGGAGAGGAAAGGGAGGCAAGGGATTGGGAAAAGGAGGTGCCAAGAGGCATCGGAAAGTTCTCCGAGATAATATTTAGGGCATCACAAAGCCCGCAATCCGACGACTCGCTAGACGTGGAGGAGTAAAGCGTATCAGTGGCTTAATCTATGAGGAAACAAGAGGTGTTCTAAAGATCTTTCTTGAGAATGTAATTAGAGATGCTGTTACTTACACCGAACACGCTCGCCGGAAAACTGTCACAGCGATGGACGTTGTTTATGCCTTGAAGAGACAAGGTAGGACTCTTTATGGTTTTGGTGGTTAGAGAGATTTAGGTTAGGACTGGGGATTTTGTTTGTAGCAGTGGCAAATCATTAGGAATTAATGTTTTGATTTTGTATTTTAATCCAAGGTTTTTGATGCTTGTCTTCAGATTGAAAGGTATATGGTTTTGCTTTTCATTTCTTTTCTCGATTCTATTTGGATTGTGAGAAAAAGTTAGGGATTTAGTTAACTAATAGGAACGACGGTGTATCAAGTTGAACGACAAACCGGAAGAGTAATTGCCATAGTTTAATGCAGCTTGTAAGGTAGTGCTAAGCTCGAAAGTCTTAGGCCCGTTTTATTCATGGGCTTAGGCCCATTTTAACCTGGATAACACGATTCAAGGGTACCGACACAGGCAATGAATTAGTATTTAAACGAGGAACCGGCTTGAGACAAACATGTCGTTCACGGACTAACAAACAGTCTGGAAAAGAAAAAGGAAAATTTATTATTTTTTTAAAATTTTGATAACTAAATAAAATTTTGTTTTTCCTTTCTCTCGTTTGCTTTGTTTCGAAAAAGTACAAGAATGAAAACCAAAGCAAGTTACAACTTACAAGTTGCTAAATTGGCTCACCAACGAAGACCTACTGGCTTGACCTTTCATCAGAATTCAAATCAGAGGAAGTGAAACGCTAAGGCTTACCCGTAAAGACACGTTCAAACAGTCAAACCCACTATGATTTCCTCAATACGTTGACCATAATGGCACGTGTACGATGGAAAAGGGAACATGCATGATCAAGCAATGGTTGTCCCTGAAAGGGTGCAAAGTTGCACTACACGTAAATTCCAAAGGTGAAAAGCCACCGGTCCAATGGTCCATGAAGCGAGACTTTGAAGTAGTCGCCCCCACACTTATGGACTTTCCCCCTTCGAGTTGAACGCCTGGCTCGTGCTCAAGACGCCTGTTTTGCACGTGCCTACACAGGCGGCCGAGATCTCGCTTGTATCTTTTCTTTTCTGTTTATGCTTCTTACTATTATAATATAATAAAATAATTTAAACAATGCAATACGATAAAATATTGTCCCTTCTTTTAAATAAATGAATTAGGTAACATTTATAATTTTTAATGTTTAAAATGAAAAAAAAGATTTAAATATAATTAAATTAAATTGTATTAAAATAAATATAATTTTTATATAAATTCTTAAAATTAAACTGGTCAAAATTTTATGACGGAACAATCAATTTCTTTAAATTTCTTTATTTTGAAAGGAATTTCTCTAGATTTTTAAAATTTTTATGGTAAGAGTATTTTTACGATAGGGATGAGAGTGGAGAGTTGACATGAAAATAACAAATTGAAACTTTAGGAGATAAAAATGATAACACTCAAATTGAAAAATAATGTGTGAAAATAAGCCTATTTTAAAAAAATAACTAAAATAAAATAAAATATAAAATTATTTTAAATATGAAAAAAATTCATTTGTGCTTGAATTTTATGTAATACATTCTACATTTTACATTCATCTAATTAATAATCTATAAGCACATTAAATTTTTTATTTGAATATGATTACTTTCTTTATGCTATAAAATAGATATATTTTAATTTTTTTCATAGTTATAAAAAATATAGTTAATATAATTAAACTATAATTTTTAAATACCATTCTACATTTTTACATTCATCTAATTCAAATAACTATAAGCACATTCAAATTTTTCTATTTGAATATCGATCTAACTTTCTTTTAGCTATAAATAGATAATTTTTAATTTTTTTTTGCATAAGCTTATAAAAAATATATCTGTTAATATGATTAACTATAAATTTTTAATTTATATTTTATTATAAAAAATTTTTATTTATTTAAATATCTAATAATGAAACTATATTACATATTTTTATCGATAAAAATGCGTATTAAAATATCTAATATGAATATTAATATTTTTATCGATAAAAATGCGTATTAAATAGGGTAAAATAAAAGTAAAAAAATGATTAAAACCCACTTATATAAAGAAAGATATAATATAATTTATCATATTAAATATTTATATGCCTATTTTCCGTGAATTAAATAAGTCAAACGAAAAGCAGATGAAAAGAAAAGGCATTAAAGCCTACAATTCTCAGCTTTAATCCCTACCCCATCAGAATTAAAATGCACAATCTCCATTTAATGGGTTGTCTATTTAATTTGTATTACCATTATATGACTATCACTTCATTAAAAAAAAAAAATCAAAAGAAAAAGAAAAGCAAATTTTAAAATGTTGGATTTTTTTTTTTTTGAAAAATTTGTTTATCCACCGGCAGTTCTGTTGCTTAAAAAATATTTTAAAATTAAAATATTATATAATTTTTTTTTTTTGAAAGTATATATAATTGATTTGATACGTACTCATGCACTACATTTAGAGAAGTCTTTCCTTTTTTTTTTTTTTTTAACAAAAAGGAAAACAATAACACGTGGCAAGAAATGCAGTAAAATAGCATGGAGGCGTGGTTTTGCTTCAGCTAGATCTACGCGGCCTCGAAGTCCTAACCAAACGAACTCTCTTTCTCATTACAAATACCAAACTCGCTCTTCGTTCTCTTCACATAAACCTCAACTCTCCCTCTTTCCTCTCTAACTCAACTGAAATGGCCGAGACCACAGTCTCCCCGATTCCTCTGCTCAAAGATGAGCTTGATATTGTAATCCCAACTATTAGAAACCTTGATTTTTTGGAGATGTGGAGGCCATTTTTCCAGCATTACCATCTCATCATTGTTCAAGATGGTGACCCGTCAAAGACAATCAAGGTTCCTGAAGGTTTCGATTATGAGCTCTATAACAGGAATGATATTAATCGGATTTTGGGTCCCAAGGCTTCTTGTATTTCCTTTAAGGATTCTGCTTGTAGGTGCTTCGGCTACATGGTCTCCAAGAAGAAGTATATCTACACCATTGATGATGACTGCTTTGTATGTCACTCTTTAAATCCTCTCTTATTTATTTGTTTGTTTTTACTTTGTGTTGGGTTTGGGTTTTATTGTGATTCGGGGTTGCATTTTTGAAGAAAGTTTGAATTTTTCATAGCCAATTGGAACTTTTAAATGGGGATTTTGATGCTTCGGCTACATGGTCTCCAAGAAGAAGTATATCTACACCATTGATGATGACTGCTTTGTATGTCACTCTTTAAATCCTCTCTTATTTATTTGTTTGTTTTTACTTTGTGTTGGGTTTGGGTTTTATTGTGATTCGGGGTTGCATTTTTGAAGAAAGTTTGAATTTTTCATAGCCAATTGGAACTTTTAAATGGGGATTTTGAAGATCTGGACTGCTTATGTGGAGTTTTGTTGGACCTCTTTTTTGGTGGAATTTTGAATTTTGAATCTTGTTTGAGGCTGGGCATGTGGGGCTTTGATATGATTTGGGGTTACTTGCCTTTCGCTATATTGACAACTGGATCTAATTTTGTTATAGCTTTCAATTTCTGCTTTGTTCTTTCAAATATCAATCAATACTGTTTTGGTTGACCTATTTCATCTGTAACAATTTGATCTGTTTGGCATCTTAACTGATTCATTTGATTTTGACTCGGAAAAGGCATGCATGTGCCAATGTATTGTATCTTATGTCATTTTGGTAATCAACAATGTCAAGAGTATGGATTTATTTTGAAGGCTAAGTCTATGTTATTTGGAATAAACAATGAACAAGTATTGATTGATCTCCTCGATCTCATTTGTTAAATGACAAATTATCCATTGGAGTATTAGACAGCTCTGCTTCTGTTGTGTTGTTAGTTAATGTTGGAAACCAGTTTACTTGATAGTTCTTTTGGGATTTCAATCTGTCAGCTAACTCAATTAATGAACTGGTAGTCTTTTATTTTCTGTATTTGCTGCTTTCTATTATATTTCATATTCTCTTTGACTTGAGCTATGCAAGAGATTCAGCAGATTTTTTTATTGTGTTCATGAGTTGCAAAATGGTTCCTTTTAACCATTTTGTATATTATGTGTTTATATCTTGGGATGGATGCAATATATATATTTATATCTTTCAGTGAATTTATTTTTTGGGATGGAGCATGTGATCTAAAGTGGAGCATCCCTCGTGTAATTGCAGGTTGCTAAAGATCCTTCTGGCAAAGATATTAATGCACTTGAGCAGCACATACAGAACCTTTTGACTCCATCCACCCCATTTTTCTTCAACACTTTGTATGACCCATACCGAAATGGTGCAGATTTTGTCCGTGGTTATCCGTTTAGCCTTCGTGAGGGTGTCCCTACAGCTGTATCCCATGGTCTCTGGCTCAACATCCCTGACTATGATGCCCCAACCCAACTTGTCAAGCCTCTTGAGAGGAACACTAGGTAGGAAGATTCTTAATGCACCACCATCTATTGCTTGTGTATATGAATGTTTTAACAGAAATATTTGACTTTGTACCTATCTGTCTGTCAGGTATGTGGATGCTGTAATGACAATTCCAAAGGGAACTTTATTCCCTATGTGCGGAATGAATCTGGCATTCAACCGTGAATTGATTGGTCCTGCAATGTACTTCGGTCTCATGGGTGATGGTCAGCCGATTGGTCGCTATGATGATATGTGGGCTGGCTGGTGCATGAAGGTATACACCTATCTTGTTTAATTCTATTGTTGATTAATTAGATTCTACATCCATCTGGCCTCGAGACTACTCCAGCTTATTGTAATTTCATGTGTTTTGTAATTGAAAATGATTGTTTCATTGTATAGGTTATATGCGATCATTTGGGTTTAGGAGTCAAAACAGGATTGCCTTACATTTGGCACAGCAAAGCAAGCAACCCATTTGTGAACCTTAAAAAGGAATACAAAGGAATCTACTGGCAGGAAGAGCTGATTCCATTTTTCCAATCTGCTGTTCTTCCAAAGGACTGCACCAGTGTCCAGAAGTGCTATCTTGAACTGTCCAAGCAAGTTAAGGCAAAACTGGGTAAAGTTGATGAATACTTTATCAAGCTAGCAGATGCCATGGCCACATGGATTGAAGCATGGGAAGAGCAGAACCCATCGGGGACTTCTGCCGAATTGCCTAATGGTGCTGCAAAGTAGAAGAACTACTGATTGGAATCTGGGGAGCTATCACGGCTATCAAGCGGGAGATGCTATAATCTCTTAGTCTGTCTTTATTTAGGTATTGTAAGTTATTGAGCCAATTTATCTAAAGCTTCCTGCTTTGAAGCTTGGATAGTTATTTTTCAGGTGGAGGGTTTTATTACTCTTGTTACTTTGAGTTTAGAACAATGACAAATTATGCATTTTGCATTTGATTAGATTTGATTGTTAGTTATTAATGATTGAGTTGATTGGTTTTGGAAATGTTTTGTGCATTTTGTTGGTTTAATTGAATCATTCAGAGGTTTTGGCCATTGATTGTAGTAAAAAGAAAGTCAGACTTTTGACTAATCAGTCATTGTCTCGTGAGAAAAATCCAATTTCAGAATTTGGTATATAGCTTTTCAGAGTGGAATTGCTTTGATACCAGCTGGAAAAATTGGGATCTAGGAACTTTTCACGCGCATACAAATCAAAGACAAGACCACTTCACTAACCCAATTGGTAAGTAGTCTAATAGTGAGATCTTTCTATTCTCGCCAGCAATATTTCAGAATCTTCATTGAATACAAAGCTCTAAAGTGGCAATACTCAAAAAAGAAGTTTCAGATAAATATTTTAATTTCACCGACAAAAACTACCATATTATAATAATAAATTATTATTTTACCCCTGTATTTTGATAAAATACACTGGTCTATCCCGGTAAAACGCCGGGATAAAATAACTAATTTTGATAAAATACAAGGATAATATAATACTTTTTTCAATAAAAAATTATTTTGATTTAAGTAGAAAGGCATTTTCATCTTTTCAGAAAGCACTAAATGGAAAAAATTCAGAAAAATTGACAGAAGACAGACGAGGAGGAGAAGAAGAAAGACCGACATTGTTAATAAGACTGGAAATGGTATTCAGATAAAAACTATCCTTACAGTGATGAAATGATTTTAGATTTGAAACTCTAAAAGTTTATCTGAAAATGCAATCTACTCCCGCTAATCAAAATTACCTATTAATTAAATCATTAATTTAGTGGTACAAAAAATAGAAAACTGACAGGCTCTTACAATATATCAAGAACTACCTACAAAACAACAAAAGTGCAGATTATTATAAAATGGGTTGCTTGCTATAAATATTAATTAAGATTTGCTAAATGCATACAAATTTAGGACGGCTTGTACTTCCCCTCTTATTTTATTAAGGATTAATACAGTTTTTGGATTTACTTAACTGATTTCCTTGAGAATACCACCTAAATATATTTTTTTTTATTTGATAATAAATGATTAGATAATCTTTTAATTAAATAAATTATATAAATCCCTTTCAAAAAAAAAAAAAAAGAATAAATATACTTTTTTTTTTTTTTTTATCTTGATAATAAATGATTAGATAAATTCTTTTGAATTAAGTAAATTATGATACAATCCCTTTCAAAAAAAAAAAAAAAAAAAAAAACAATTATATAAATATATATCATTAACTTTTCTTAGAGGAGTATTACCAATTTGCAAAAACAAATGCATGTGGAGTATTATATTACCAATAATAGGTATAACTGATAAAAAAAGAAAAAAAATCCTTAAAAAGCAAAATCTTTCAGCGAATGGTGTTCCCATTTCCATTGCATAGGAAACAACAACAACAACAACATTATATATAACAATATTAACATTTTTGATAAGGAAAAAACGTTCCTGAATATGATCAACATTTAAAGATTTGTTACAACTTGATTGGGACAATGATGTAGAAGTATATTTATCAATTTTTTTTATTTTTTCTTAGTTGGTATAAATATGTATTTTATTGTTTATTTTTCTATTTTGTTATTTTTGTTAAATGTATGTGTTTTGTATATAACCAAATAAATTGAAAAATAAAAACACTAGTATATAAATAGTTGTAATTCACAAGTAATGAATATAATACATATTTTTTTTACATATATAAATAGGAAGTGCTATACATCTATTTATAGAGAATAACTTTTTTTTTTTATGAAAATATCCAATTAAAATATAGAAAAATAAAGAAAAAGAAAATAACTTTATATAGAGAAATATGAGTATTTTACATATAAGTTCAAAAATTTGAAAGTGATATATATCAAAAAGATTTTGAGAATATATCCAATTAAAACATATAAAAATAAAAAAAGAAAGAAATTTATATAAATAAATATGGGTGTTTTGTCCAAAATTTTGAAACTGGTCAATATATATTTACATAAAATATTTTTTAAAAAAAAACATATCCAATTAAAATATTGAAAAATAAAGAAAATAAAGAAATTTAAAATATGTGGTCATTGTATTTATCATATCCTCAATACGAATACATGCTTAATAAAATTATAAAAGTATAAATAGTATGAAAATGAAATTATAATCGGATACTTAATATCGTAACGGAAATTAATGAGTATGAACAACAAGCAAATAATAGGTAATTATAATGTGCAATGCACGTCATAAAAATCCTAGTATATACACACACACTGAAGGTTTTATTAATTAATTTTATATTCACATTAATTTTATATGTAAATTTTTAAAGAATATATATCCAATTAAAACATAGAAAAATAAAGAAAAGAAATAAAAGTCTAAAAATTTCTAAAAACATTGAAAAATAAAAAGCTAAATAAGAAATAAATATATTTTATTTATTTAAAATATATAGCATTTTTAAAATATCTTTTATTTCAGGTTTATATATAGATATATGCATATATCGGATATAGATATGGATATAAATATATAGATAGATACGTAGATATAGATAGGAAATAATTTTTTATTAAAATATTTTATTTCAAGTGTTATGCTAATATTACTATGAATGGCTTTTCATTGAAAAAAAAAAAACAACAAAAATCAAAATTTATTGACTTGTTCCAAATATGGATGTAATATGCAATCAGCGGCATAGATAGGGATTTACCTTCCAAATTCATATAAATCAAAGCCACAGTCTCTCTTGGAATGTCACCAACCATATTGTCATACCACAAAAACAAAAACATGGAAAATGTCTCAATCAAGTTTGTCTTTTTGGCCATACTCCTACTCACTTCATCAGGTTTGTTGTCTCTTTAAATTCCATTTTTAAATTTTCACTCGTAAATTTAAGTTTTCATATTAAACATTATATGAACAGAGTAAATTGAAAATAAAGAAACAAAAGATTCATACAGCCGACCTCTAACCCAGTTCGAGATTAAGACTTGCTTGTTATATGTATATACTTATTCTGTGTTAATATTACAATGTGTCATATGAATGAAACTAATGATGGTGCTTTTGATAGGTTTGGCATTGTCAAGGAGAATTGAAATAGGTGAGAAGAAGAGAGGATTTTTGCCTGTGAGGTGTTCTAAAGATGCTGATTGCAAGGGCAAATGTTTGTGGGAGACAAGCACTTGTGTAGATGGGTTATGCACTTGCCCCCTTTAGCTCAAATTAGGGAGCCAAAACTCCATTCTGTAAAATGAGAGTTTAAAAGCATGTATCTCTGAAAGCATTACAAGCTTTGAGAATCTACAATAAATGTTCCTTCCACAGTTTCACGAAATAAAACATGCATTTTACTTGTGTTATCAAAGTGAGTTGAATATGAAAACCAAACAATTATATATGATGGGATGTTAATGATATCAAATGATTTTTCTAGTTGATGGGCTAATGAGATTCATTATGTTGAGAGAACGGGGACAAAAAAAAAAAAAGCAACAATCAATCTTGCAAGCATGAATAGCACATTGATTATTCATTTTCTGACAGTATCAACATGAACTTACTCCTGGTCTGCTTTGCAACGTTTCAGTTTATGCAGCTTAACAAGATCCAATATACAGGTCATTTAAGCATACTCTGGCTATGGCTATGGCTCCGGCTCTGGATTTGATTCCCTGTCCAAACACAAAGTGCAAAGTGTAAAACAAAACCAAAATAATAGTCATTTTGAGATAATGACTATGTAAGTAAAACAGAACCAAGCAATATCTAGATATTAAAGTTGAGAAAGCAAGGTATATGATGAACAAAGAATGAGAACATACTCATTGGAATGCCATAGGTGGGGGGAATTTTTCCAAAAAGAAGAAAAAAAAAATGAGCAGTTTTCGAAAAAAACAAAAGAAGGAAACTTGAGGATCTCTATAGGAAATAGTAATTCTAGGTGGGATTCAAAATATTTGTTTCAATTAACTTTAAAACTCAGCTGCTTTTTCTTTTAATCGGATCATATTGAGCTCAATAAGCAAAAAGAATTCATCTCCATGCAATAGATAATAATTTCAACAGAAGACCAAACACAAGTTCTGTTAGAAATGGCAGAAAATAAAGGATGAATTTGATGGGAGCTCAGAAATTGATTCCTTCTCAACATACAAAAATTTAATGCTTTGAAATGTTTAAGGGAAAGAAAAGTGATTCTCACAAGAGAGGTATTAGCAATACATATCTAGTACCAAGTAAATGGAAAAAACAAATGCATTCAGATTTGAATAAAACAAACTTAGAAACTTTCACGCAGCTCTTCCATGAATTCTGCTAAGAAACTTCTCCATACATCATCATGTTCATCTTCCCATGAAATAATACTTGAATATGTAATTGAAGTTTGAATTGAATTTTTCCAATGAAATTGAGCAAGTACCTTCTTTGCACAGGAATTAAGTGATGTGGGGCCAGCACAGAGCATCATTTTCCTGCTTCACTTGCATGGATTGCTTCTGATGTTCTACTCGCTGAAGCTGTGATGACAGCTGAAGCAAGTCAACAGTAGTACCATCTTCGCATGAAAGACTACCCTTAGCATTCATAAAATCTGATCCTTGGTAAATACCATCTGTGACATCAAAATTTATGGCATCACTTCCATCAGGTATCAGTATGGAGCCCAAGTGGCTCCCTTCTGCAGAACTTGTTCCTGATGAGAACTTGTTTGGTACCCCACTCATGGAAGCCTGCGAACTAACTCCAATAAGCTTTTCAGAGACTTGGCTCACGCTATAATGGGTGTTGCTGCCAGGTACTACCAATGGGCTGGCAATGGACATTCCGGATGAATGGCCTGAAAAATTATTTGAGTGAGATGACAGAAGAGAGAGAGCACAACCAGAGTGTGTGATCCCTGATAGCCCTTGAATGGTTGATACTGCATTGAAAGTTGTGAAGTCTTCATTTCCCATCAAGTTGTCCTGGACTAATGAACGTGAATAAAAAATTGAGCCTCCCATTTCATGTGGATATCGATTACTGCTCGCATTGAAGATGCTTCCTGTTGTAGGAGTAGCTTCATTGTCATTAAAAGTGAGAAATGCTTTATTCAAATTGTTAGAAGGGAAGAGAAATTTTGAAAGCAGATACCCACTTGTAGGAATGGATGATAGTGGACTAAAATTGGACCCATCTTCAACTTTTATTTGCCTGCACCAATTATTTGTCCCATATTTCTCAGGATGTAATGGACCACTGGGAAGTATATCTTGACAGATAAAAGATGCTGTGCCATGAAATCGGCCAGTGCCAAAGCCTGAACAATAATGAGAAAATAGTAAAAGGTTTGCAAAATACCATAACTCGAGTACTGAAATAAACTTACAATTTTCTAATTCTACAATGCTAAGGCGCACTGTATAGGTAACTCCAAGAATTTTAGGAATTTAAGATTTCAGCACCAAATGCAATAATGTCACTAACATATAGCACATAGCTTAACAGATTACCACATATTATCATGCATGAACAAGTTAATTTTGGCATAAATTCCAAATATAAAAGAGAATTAAGCAGTTTATGCTATAAAAGTGAATCCCAAATTCCACATACTTGCACTGCTCTTGCCTTTTAGGACAGCGATTTACCTGCTAAACGGGTTTCAAATTCTGGATTTTAGATGATTCAACATGGATTATCACTAGATGGTTTGAATTGGTTATATTGGAATCAGAGACATAGAAGTGTCATGACATCATTGCATGCACGAATTAGGATGATGTTTCAGGCTAACATGCCTTAGCCAAGCCCCCATTTGGTAGAGTTTGTTGCTACCTAAATAAAGCTGTCTCATATTTCTCATTCATCACATCACTTGGAAACATAAATTCCCCAAACAAGTCTGACTACCTCAAACATCTCCAGTATCTGTAATAACTGCCACACGACTGAATCATATAACAGAAACAAATATGCATTAGTGTGCACAAAAATAACAACTGTAATTATTCCAGAATATCTAAGAATCAGCTAGGCAACTCAAAAGTCTTCAGCTTAAATAGTTTAAGTGTAATAAAGGGATCAAATAGTTAACCGTTATCCAACAATTGCGCAGAAAAATTATATAATGGATAAAAAGTGGATAATGGTTTCTACCATTGTATGACTGAATTAGTCTTCCAGTCCTTCCGGCGTGAAGACCAACTTGAGGCTTTCTCCTTCGTTCATTGTGGCCTGCAAGCCGTTTACGGCAGCTGCGCTTACCATCATCAAATTCAGCCAGCAAATGAAACCTGAACAGTCAAAAACTATTACGCATTATAGCAGCAACAATATTCAGGTATTTAGTATATTGACATTATTATGAACCCAAACAGGAGCAAAGAATTGAAAAATGACATCTAGCTTTGCCTGAATCATAACTAAAGAATCCATCAAGAAAAAGCTAAAAGACACGTATGTACATATTTAGATTTTTGAAGTAAGAAAACCCATCCAGATGAACAAAGAAACAGGTTTATTTAGTACTTGCGGGTTTTCTTTATATTTCAGCTAACTGACAATTCATTAAATATTATTTAAGGGATTAGGATAAACTGAACTCAACAACAAACAGTGGAGGAACAGAATAAACTTGACAAAATGGTTGTAAAGATTATGAACAAACTAAGAAAATCAAATTTCAAGAAAGTTAGACCATTCAGAAAAGAAAGAGTTGAACAACTTTTGATTAAAAACAAAGCAAAAAAGGAACTGAAGAATTGACATATATATAAGTAAAACTTGTGTTTCAATGTGAATAATCAATGAAGACATAACATACCTGCTGCATTGCTGACAAAACCTCTGTTCAATTCCATTGACAATAACTTTAGCAGTTTTGGAGTGAACTTCACAGACTTTATGTCTCTTGTGATATTCTTTTGAAGAACTGAGATCCTTATTACAACCATAAACTTGGCAGTAGGCAGTATGGGAATTCACTCCTGGTCTCATTCTCTTTGGAGGATTTGATGAATCAGATGAAGACAGAATGGATGCTCCCTTAGAAGTTCTTGAATTTTGAGCATCTGTTGTTGGATCACCAAACCTTCCCAGCTTCAAATCAATAAATGAAGAATCTCTACTATTAGAATCCATAACAGAGCTAGAAAGCCTTGAAGAAGTGGATTCAACTTCTAAAGAAAAACTATTAGTGTTATTAACAATAAAAGGATTAATGATTTTCCCAACATCAACTTCACTGCTCAAAGACACCCTAATTGAATTATCAGGTAATTGTTTTCCCATCATTTCTTGATAACTCAAATGCCCAAAATTTTGATTCTCAATAGCTTGTTGACTTGAGATGACCATGTTATTACCAAAACTAGCCGTTTTCAAATCCCAGCCCAGCAAGGCATTTCTGCTTTTGGCAATAGTGTCAGAAGATGAAATTGTTTCCCTTGATACAATATCCTTCCCTCCATGAACATAGCTCCAAGGTTGCATTTGTAATATAATGGAATTACTGTTCAAGTGATTAGATACTTAAAAACCGACCTGCCAATACAATCAAGAAAATGATCGATCTCTACCCGATTGGCAAAAACCAAATTAAATTTTCTGTTAAACCACTAGTGACAGCAAACGTTGAAAAATCTTGCTAAAGTACTGTTACTCACAAAATTCCCCACTTCCTCCAAATTCTCCAATTCACAAGAAATTCATTTTCTGAGATACCAGAAGCATCAAAACAACAAAACCCATTAGGGAAAACTCAGAACCCAGGAAAATTAAGCAGCACAAAAAATCAAGAAAATGACTAGAGAGAATAACACCACGTGAACTCATTCAGAAAGCTAAGTGCAAGAAAGGATTTTTAGTAAGAAACAAAAGCAAACATTAAAAAGAACAAACAATGCAAAGAGCAAAGGAGAAAGCTATATATCGAGTGACTATAAAAAGAAAGCAAAAAGTTGCCTAAAATCATTTGAGATATAGTGAGTTTTGCTTTACCATGGTAGAGAGTAAAGAAATGGGGTTGTATAATGAGTCTTAGGTGTCCCAAACTTGATGGAAAATAAGATGTGGCTGCTATTTTCACTCACACATACAGAGCAGAGTACAGAACTACAGACATTAACTCATTTTAGAGAGAAGAGAGAGAGACCTATAAACTGCTTTTTGCGTTGTTTAGAAACTACTAAATAGGATTACTTGCTACTCAGTCTTGTTCTTACCGAACAAAGAACAAGAAAAGGACAAACAACAAAATCTTGCATATTAATATATTATTACTGTTTACTGTTATGTTAGTTAATAACTTAACACTGTGCCTCTTGTTTGTTACTTCATTAGGCAAAATGGGATTTTCAATGTCTTTTTATTGATATCATTATGCATTTCAAAAGGGATACGTTGATTTTCCACACTTATTTTTAAATAAAATATTACGTTCTCTCCTGCTAAAAAGATATTTATTTATCTTATAAAGCAAATGAGAAATAGTCAATTAAATAATCATCTAGTGTTGTCTCGGTCTCTCTTGATAGAACATGATGTCCGCACCTAGCTCACTAGGGTCGGGTCCCCCGGCCTCGGGGCAGCGAAGAGTGTTACGCCGGGTCTTCCCTCTCATATTCTTGGTCCATATACCATTCAATATGTTATTTTTGTCTCCAATAGCCTTACTTCATCCATGGAGTCACCATAGCATGGCACCATGGGTAGGGATACTGGATTAACACCCCTGCATTCTCCCCTGCTCAAAACTCAAACAATCCATGACCTCATCGACAATATAAAAAATTAAAAAAACTTCGATTAAAAGTTTTTTTCATTAAAAAAATTTTGTGAAATATAGCTTAATAAGTGGAAGTAGCAAGCAAACCTCATGCAATTATAGCACATGTGTTTTTCGTTTTGTAAAAATTGTAGGCTTAATTTGATAATATTGGTTGATTTTGGCGTGCATTAAGTTTGAAAAAGTTGCATTATTAGAAGAAAAATGACAAAACGACTAAAGAGGCAATAATTTCCGCATGTTCTATAATCTACAGAAATTTGCCACTTGTTTCAAAACCCATATGTCTTTCTTTGCCAGTGATTGTGATATTTTTTAAATATATATATATATATATAATCTTAATATTCAAATATCACTAATAATTAAGAAAAAAATTTATTTTTATTTGTTGAAATATTAATTTTAAGTAATAGATGGTTAGATTAGTAGCAGCATAAATAAACTTATTTTAAGGTGAACTGAAGTTTGAAATTTAGATTAAATCATCACCATTCTTCGGTCTGAACATAAAAATATATATACAAATTTTAAAAATTTTTAATTTTTAATTTTAACGTGGAAAGTTTTTAAATAGTTTTTACATTATATTAACATAAAGTTACTTAAAAATAGTAATATTAAAAATTTAATTCCAGTAACGAATTTAATTAAATTTGTTAGACTTTATTAAATTAGCCATACAAAAAGGTCAGTTTGTCCTTTTAATGATCACTCACTTTTAGCAAGAAAGCAGCTTCAAATTTCTAAAACATCGTAATCATAAGATAAAGAATAACTTAATACGCAATTTTACTTGAAGCCTATTCTTGGATAATTGTAACCAAACTAAATTCTATGGTAAATAATAATATTTATCTTTAATAAAACTAAGTTCAACTCTTATGGTAACTTATTTTTTTCCAAAGAATTAGACTCTGTTAATTTTCATCTCGTCATAGAATGCAAAAGTTTTTTAATCTTTCTCTTAAGTATATTTTTATCACCCGAGGTGCTGGCCCTGGCCTGATGGTAAAGACCTTATTATCCGCTTGCTTGATTAGGATTTGACCCTTCACGAGAGCATCCCGTTATGCATGATGTCTAATGGGCTTCCTCAGGCTGGGCTGTTGCTATCATAATTGAGGACCGTAATGCCGTGATACTAGAACAATGACTAAAATATTTAATAGTACCTTTTTTTTTCAAAAAAAAAAAAATACACTTTTTAATATTGAACATTTGGATTGATTATAGTAAGATAATTTTTTTTGGACTGTACTATCTGATCTAATTCAATTGATAAATTCGATCCGATTTTAAAACTTATTTCAATTAGATTCAATTCCAATAAAAATTTACCCATTTAGATACCCCTCACTATAAACCTAGAATGGCCAATTTCAATCCAAAAAATGAGGAATGGAACCAAGGAATGAACACATAGTTTCAATTACAATTTGAAATTGAAAATTACTTATCACAGTTTGATTTGGATTTTTAGTGGTTTGGTTTCGATTCAATTTTATTTTAACAAAACCGTGGTGATGCCTATTGGTTGTCTTCAACCAATAAGTGATTTTTGTTTTTCTTTTTTTAATAATAATAATAATAACATATTAAGCTTTAAATTTGTAATAAATTAAATACGTATCCAAAACTTATTGAAATTTAAAAACGCTAGAAACACAGTCAAACACTATGAATTGAAAAATGCTGGAGATCCGGATGACAGGAACCACAAAAGAAATTTACACCAGCTAGTCTCCATCAACGTCTGCTGCGCGTGCTTCGACACGCAACTTGGGTGCGAGTGGACATCACAAGCACATATGTCGGTCATTATAGCCAACCAACTTTGAAGGCTCGACCGCCGTGTCTCTGGAATCGCTTTCATTGATTCATCTTTTTTTTTTTTTTTTTTTTTTTTGTATTTTCTTTTTTAGATAATAATAATAATCACATATTAAAGCCTTTAAATTGTATAAATAAATACGTATCCAAAACTTATTGAGAAATTTAAATCACTAGAAACAAGCGTCAAACACTATGAATTGAAAAATGCTGGAGATCGGAATGAGCTAGGAACCACAAAAAAATTTACAACCGAAGCTAGTCTCCATCAAGCGTCTGCTAGACACACGCAACTGGGATGCGAGTGGTATCATCGCAGACACAGCACATATGTCGTCATCTATAGCCAAACCAAGCTATTTGAAGGAGCTCGACGCCGGCAGTGCTACTGAATGCGCTTTCATTGAGTTTTTTTTTTTTTTTTTTTTTTCCTTTTTCTTTTTATTTCTCTATTAATAGTATTTTCGACGTGGAGAAATTGGGAGTTCAAACAAAGTAATTATTTCTCATTTTTAATAATTATCCTTGAAATACTAAAAAATGAAAATTTTATAGATTAAAAAATGAAAACATTGGATCTATAATTTTAATCCTAGTGAAAAGGACTCAGATTCAGAGAAAAGAATTTAAATTTTTAAATAAGGTATCAGATATTTCATTGTTATGAACAAATAAACGTATACGACATCTGCATTTTAATATATTCAAAACAAACAATAAATATCATTAAACCTTTATTAATATTGTATAAAAAAAATTTTAAAAATCTTGAATATGAATTATGTAAGAGATGGATAATTGACACATAGATGACCAAAAATTGACAAGTATAAAACAAAGTTTTAGCATAAAAACAGAAAAAGAGATTAGAAAGAAAGTGTATATATACAGAAGTAGGGGCATGAATATGAATGACAGATTTAATACACCAATTAGGTGAGTCTTGTTGATGAGGGCATGAAAGCACCTTTCTAACAACTTCATTGCCAACCCCATTTTTCTATGTACAAATGTGTCTTATTGCCAACTACTCAAAAGGGCCAACTCCCTTAATTACATGGTCCCCTTCATTTTTTTTTTATTTTTTATTTTTAATTAAAACAAAATTTACTCTTAAGTTATAGTTAAATTAATAAATAAGGACTTCTGTTTTTATTAACGCTTTAACCTTCCATCCAAAATAACATCTTTTAACTGTCAATTCATTGAGAAATTGGTCTCTAATTTGTGGTCAAACTAATTACAAAATATTTATTTTATGATTTCTGTTCATATTTTAGTTTCTCTATTTTGAACGAAATGATCAAAATATAAATAAAATCATAATTCAAAAATTTCAGAGTTAATGTTTGAAAATAAAAGTCATAATACGTTAATTTGACTATAATTTAAGAATTTATTTTTTTTTCCCTTTAATTAGTTTCAATTATATATATATATATATTATGTGATTTTAGTTGCTCAATTTTCAGGGTTGAAGTAAGGGAGTTTTTTTTTTTTTCTTTTAAAGAAAAAAAAAATACAAGTTCTGTGGTTTGAACTCAAGAATTGTACTTATTTTCATCTCTCTTTTAATCAATTTTCATTTTAATTTAAAATCGTAATTAGGTGCTGCTAAATTTTGGAAACCAACCTAAATTTATTTTTACAGACCAAAACAAAACCAATAAAATCTGCGCGTTAAAAGCCCTTATCAGTCCACTTAAATGATAGTGGCCAGCTGTATCCAAATTAACCACAAAATATTCTCAATATTTATCTCTTTTTATTTTTATTTTATTTTTATTGTAACTCACTAATTTACACGAAAAAAAAAAAAATTTACCGTTAGTCAGAGATATTTTTTAAACTTTTTTCTAGATAAAAATAATTTATTTTTTTCTATAATAATTATTCTAGCTCCACTCATATATCCGTATATATATATTTATGGAGGAAAGTTGAGTACAATGGTTGATTTGATTTTTCTTTCTGTTTTTCAGCTAGACGAATTATGAAGTAGGAGAAAAAATAAAATTAAATGAAGTTATCATCACCGTCATTATCAAGGAAGTACACTAATATTTTAAATGATTTTTAATAATCAAAATTCGAAAAGAAATGAAAATTATAAATATTTATTATTATGTAAAATATGTGAAAATTCATCATTGGTTGTATCATACTATTTTCAATTTCGCTTTTCATTATCATGGTCTCTCAATATAATTAAGTATACTGTAATTATTTTCGATTACTTTTAAATCTTTTGATTTCTTTTTATAAGCAAGGAAACTTTCCTCAAGCAGACGATTTCTACAACAAAATTGGATATTTAATATATAAAGATTTAAATAAAGTTGAATCAATTTGGTTTAATTTGATATACATATTTGGACAAATTTGACTATTTTTTATAATTGAATTAAAAATCGAAAATTATCTAAAATCAAAAATTGAATTGAATTAATCAACCCAATTAACTAAACTAAACTAAATCAATTCAATTTCATTTTTCAATTTTAATCCCAGCTAATATGATATGGATTAATATTACCAAAGAGTAATTAAAGTTTGATTATATTAATGTTATAATAATTGATAATAAACAAGAACTAACAATATTAAGACATTTTCAAAAAAAAAAAAAAAAACAATATTAAAACATGCTTTTAATATTATTAAGTACAATTATAGGAGTCGCTATTGTTATATCTTCAATCAAATTTTAGTCCTAAAGTTAGAAGTTCGAGACCTGAAATTACCGCCATAAGACATTTGATATATGATCATGTACACGAAATTGCAAAACCCTCTATTATTTTTTTCGAAGAGTTTCAGTGCAAAATAGAGTGAAATGTGTTAGAATTCAAATAAATATGAAGGAATCCAAAAATTGTTAGAATTTATTATTATTTATGAGTCTCAAAGGGAGTAATTGCCTACAACCACTAGGTACTTGTTAGAATAAGGTGCATCAGCTCACACGACAAGCTAAAGTGGGCCTCAGCTTATTTACTTGCTATTCCTAACATTTCTAACTCAGTAATGACTCTTTTGGAATTGAATCGTTTATGATTTCCAAATGTTTTTATATAATACATACCTAAAGTTGCGGCAACTTAAAGATGGTTATTGAGATTTTATTATCAAATCCAGTCGTATTGACAATTTTTAAATTTATTATTATGTATCAGCATTATTGCGATTTTATTTATGATATTTTGTTAGTTAGATAATTATATAGAAAAAAAAGAAGCACAAATTTCATATTTGATAGAAGAAAGAAATTAGAAAGTGGTCGGATCGAATTTGTAAAAAAACTATGGAATCAAACGGTAACGATAAATAGTCACCAGACGGAGCGAATTATCGCTTATGTATATATATATATATATATTACGTTTTTTCAACTCGATTTAATACTTTAAATCAATGTCGTTTTTTTTATACATGTGATTTATTATTATATTTTTTATACAAAAAATATAGAAGTATGTTGATTTATATCTTATATCTATATATATTCTCTTTTAATAAAATTTTCAATTTGATTTCTTTTAAAAAAAAGTTTTTACTTCTGAGATGCTGTTGTATTTACATCTTAAGTCTTAAGTAATTTAGCAGATTTCACCTAGTGGTGATTTGTGTTTGTCCAATTGCTATTTGAAGGAGTGTCTTAAGATAATCCTAATATGAAATTAAATTTTTTAACTTCAACAATTATATATATATATATATAAAAGAGAAATACGTTTCCATTAATTTAAATAAAGAAGAAATAACTCTTGTGGGACACTTTCTCACTCTTGAAAATTAGCATATCTATAAGAAGCTTGAGCTAAAGAATGAGTTTCTATGTTAGCTTGTCTCCTAATCCATCAGATCTAGAAGCTAGTAGTTTCCTATAATTTTTAATAATAATGTCAAATTATAACTTAAGATGCAAGTCTACCAAACTCATATTAAATCTTTCTACTAGCTATATTATGTCTCGATGAAAACTCTTTTTTTTTTTTTTTGACATTGTCTTGATGAAAACTCTTATTATTAAATTTTTTTTTTTTTTTCATCAGCAGATTAAAAAAGAAAAAGGAAAAAAAAAATGGTGATAAGTAAAACTTGAAATGGGTGTTGATGGGTGAAGAGGGAGCACAGAAGGTGGATACCACCAAATATGAAGCTTGGGTGCACTATCTTTCAATTTAGTGAAAATGATACCACATAGCCTCAACTTCTGCATTGTCTCTCTCAAGAATGTAACAACTCCTCCTTGTGTGTAAGATAAGCAATGAGTGGTTAGGGAAAACTTTCCCTTTTTTAAAAATGAAAAGTGGACCCATGTTTTAATTAGTGTCACATGGGCCCACAAACCCTATGTATGCATATGTGTATGTGTATCTCTTGCTCATGCACTTTGGCCTTGTGTTGTCCTTTCCATTGTTTGCATTCATAGCTACTGTGATGAGAACTCAGAAAGGTGGAGAGGACAGATGTATTTATTTTGTCATCTTCACTTTCATTTATAATTTTTATTTTTAATGACCTTTTCTCTTCTTTTTTTTTTCCCCTTTCATTTCAAAAGTAGTTAAATAATAATAATAATAATAATAAAGACTACACTGTTGATGATTCATTGACCTTGCTTGACTTCACTGACTTCTTTGAATTTTCTCAAGTCAATATCCAATCCTGAAAATATATGCAAATGAATTATATACATTTTATTGTTAATAGAACTTCAATATTATAATAAGCAATTTTTTAAGTTTTTTTTTTTATTATTATTATAAATATTGTGATTAGGTGATATGCAACAAATTTTAAATTTCAAATAACAAACTACATCTAGCTTGAGGTATAATAAGACAAAAATCTTATTTGATTTTATTTTTTATATATGTTTATACAAGAAGTAAAATTTTAGATATACGGACACAAGTTTTAAAATTCTTTCAACGTTAGTGACTCTAAATTTCAAACTTTTCCCCTTATAATTCTTTTACTTATGCAATGCATTGCTACTGATTCAACATAAGAGCAAATATATAAGACAGGGATAAATAACTTTGTTAAAGATTTTTTGATATTATTATTTTGTTATGTTAATGTATTATATTATGATATACACAATTAAATTATTGGATTACCTGTTGAATGAAGACATTTTATTACTGTTTAACTTCCGATTTTCAAAGGTATATGAAAACATTCTTTGGTTTGTATAAATGAATCAAACAGAAGCCGTTCGACATCCTCGGTGTCCCAGCCCAGTCCAGAATAACTGGCCTAAAAGCCATAAATAAAGCCCATGGAAAATCCCGGTAAAAGATTAGTACTGCCTGGCAGGTGAGCCCAATAGATCAGAGAGACAAATTCATCTTCTAAGATATTTTTTATTTTTTATTTTTTAAATTTTTTTGGAACTAATTTTTTTTTTTTTATGACATATGTTGTATGTTGTCATTGCTCATTTTTTATTTGTACTATTTTAATTATTATTTTTTTCTCACAACTAAATATACAATATAAGATTAATCTCATTCTAGCATTTTCTTACACTGCTTCTTTCTATATTTATTTTTCCATAGATGGAATCCTAAACTCACAAGTTTGAATTATTTTAAATTTGAAATATTTACATTTTTGCTCAGGTGGAGTCCTATATATGACTTACTATTAAGTAACAACAAATTAAGGCAGTAACCGTTACTGCATAGAGCTTTGCATGCTTAAACACTTGTCTTGTCTTTATGATATGTAAGAACCAAAAGAAGCCTTCAAATTGAGACTTCATTTTTGCTACAGTCTACAGAATCACTTGTCATCTTCTTCCTCATCTTTCTTTCTCTCTTTCTCATCGGGGATCAAGGAGAAAATTTCCATAAAAAAAAAGGTATGGCACATATGAATTTCTTCATCTGCTATATGATTTTATTTTGTTGATAGAAATTTATTCAAAAAACTATGTGAAATGAGTCAATTTTCTGAAAGTTTTACATATATGTTGCTATGTATATTTTTGATAATGTACATACACACATAATTATTTTTGTGTCATCAGAAACAAGTGCCTTGAGGAAAATGGTGAAACCGAAGCAAAAATATGTAAGAAAAATAAGCAACAAAGGTGCAGCAGAAAGGCAAGTAACTTCATTACCCTTTGATATCCAGTCCAATATTCTATCTAGGGTTCCTCTAGAATCAATCTTCAGTTGCAGATGTGTATGCAAGTCTTGGTATCGCATGTCTGGTGATCCTTCTTTCATTAAACTTTATCAAGAAAGGAATAATAATAATAATGAAGATGATCGTCCATGTAAGTACATCATTCAAGCGCGAAATAGAGCTAATTCTGAAAGACTTCTTTTCTTGGATATCCATGGAGAGAAACTTAGAGAAATTTCTTTAGAGCATATGAATTTATCTTTAAACTTTAGATATAAATTATCTGCTTTTAGAATCATTAGTTCTTGCAATGGCTTGCTTTGCTTAGCTCCGAACGGGAAAATGGATCCAATACTAATTTGCAATCCATTAACAAGGGATTGTGTAATTTTACCCTCTTCAAGGACCATATCGCGAGAACTTCCAGTCAGGAGTTATCAAGTAGGGTTTCACTTTGACCCTCTATTAGAAAATAAATATAAGGTTGTAAGAGAATTTAGATGCGACAATGATGAAGCATGCAAATTTCAGATGATTGCAATTGGTGACAGTTCATGGAAAGATTTAAGTGGTGCTCCAAATTTTTTTCTTGAATGTGGGTTTGATGCAGCAATCTATTGGAATGGAGCCTTTCATTGGAAAATAAGTGAACTTGATCATAGACATAACAATAATTTTATTTTAAGTTTCGATCTAATTGATGAAACTTTTTATACTATATTCTTTACCAATTATGATGAAGTGCAAGTTCCATATAATTATCGGTTAGTGGGTTTAAAAGGAGAATTAAAGATTGTAGAACATGATTGTCGTTTTTTGAAATTATGGAATGTGAGTGGTAATAAGATTGAAGGATTTTCGCTTTGGTTGGAACATAGGTTCATTTTGTGTGTGCCAAGAAGCCGTCTTTTGCAACATTATTTGATTTGTGAAATTGAAAGGAGAAGTTATTTGATGCAAGTGTTTAGTTGGGAGGGTGGAAATAATCAGACATGTAGGCTTGTAAGGTTTTCTCCTGAAATTGAAAAAATTTATGACTTGGAGATCAATTGTGAACTTCCTAACCTTTTTAGCATAATTTGTTTTAAGCCTAGCATTGTTTCTCCTCTTATGTCTACTTGATTTATTGCATAGGCTTATGCAAGTGCTATTGTTATCCTAAAAAGGCATGTCTAATTATTATATTATCTTCCTTTCTTTGTTTTTGTTTTTTTCTTTTATGAACTTTCTCTCATTTTCTTTAAGTTGTAATGTTATTTTTATACAACTTTGTAATTAATTGGATTGCATATGGTATGTAATTTAAAGGTTATTATTATGGTTTCTTTAAGCTTTTTGTTATTATTTAGCTTCTTGACAAATTTCTAAGGAACCAAACACAAAAAGCTATTTGGATATAAAAAGTCTGGAATTTAGATGGAAATTCTTTTGAAAAGAGGCAACTTTAGCTCAAAATCAAGAAAATATTGAGCTAAAAAAACCAAATATCACCTATAATATATACTCAATCAAAAGAGGATTTTTTGCAGAGAGATGGGGTGGGAGAGAAATTTCCACCAATGGCGGTGGTGTAGTTATAAAAAAGAATATGCAGATTTTTTTTTTCTTTTTTTTGAACTTTGAAGGAGAAAGAGTGGAAAGAGAATGAGAGAGAAATTTCCACCGGTGATTGTAGAGGATTTTTTTTCAAAGAAATCATTTTTTTTTTTTTTTTTTTTATTTTTTTTTTTTGGTAAAGTTAGAAAGGAGAAGGAGGATGAAACTTTTAGTTGGCATAATTACCTTCATGATTAGAGAGCCTATTTTATCAAATTTTTTTTTTTTTTTTTTTTTTTTGGTAAGTAGAAAGGGAGAAGGAGATGAAACTTTTATGGCATAATTACCTTCATGATTAGAGAGCTATTTTATCAAATTTGAAAGTTTTTCCTTTTCTAATATTAATTACATGTACATCTAATTCGCAACGTTAAAATTGAATTATGTTTGCATTGGATTCATCCATTACCAGAAAAATATTCTAAACAATTATTTTTGTTAGATAAGGATCGAATCTTTGATCTCGCTAAAGGAAAAATATTCTCAACAAGTATCAAATTATTGTCTTAATATACTTGTAGGCAATGGAAATTAAAACATATACGAAAGTTAACTTGAGACCTTCACGCGGTAGTTTGGTAAGGTTGATATTTCTTTTTATTCATTGGGAGGGTCAATGGGTCGAAATAATATTGCGGGCCATATAATAACAGTAGCCTTCCTCTAGACCCATGAAATTGGTGAAAATACGTATGGTCAAGAAATCTCAAATTTAAAACCTCATGCTCCTTACATAAATGAGAATACCAATCAGATCCACCGGTAAGACCCATAATTCATTGACGTTCCAAATTAAACATGTCAATTTTGTGCTGCAAATGCAACAAATCTTGTCAGATCCGACAAAGCTTGATAGGCTCCTAACTTTTTTTCCAGTTTGTTGGACATCTTTGAAAATTATTAAAGATTGTTCTTGATTTGACTGTTCGTTGCCATGAAAATATAATTTGATTCTCCGTTCTGATTCATATTGGAGCTACTCTAAAAATTGCAGTTTCAAAATTATAATTAAAACTCGAAGGATTAGGCTATCTTCAACTCCTGTTTTTGGAATCAGAATCAGTCCAAAATGCTTAATCTCTAATTGGTCAATTTAAAAAAAAAAAGAAAGAAAAATCAAATTTTTAGAACTAGAACCACTAATTAATTGAACCGGTTTTACGTTCTTAGTTTATTGACTGAATTGTCCTACCTTCCTATGATTAACAAAAATATGTAGGAAAAGAAAATGGATTAAGTTGTACTATTTTCTTGTTCACAAAATTAGGGCAGAATCCCAAATTAATAAAAATGAAAATAATTTCTTTAAGGTAAAATTTCAATCTATCATAGGATTTTATATATATTTTAGGAATTCCGTTGAGTCATCTCTTTACAATTTTTTTTCATGTAGAGCTTTTTCGAGAAATTGACTTATCAAATTAAATTCTCAAAATAGATAACATCCTATAATAGATTAGAATGCCAAATTTAAGCTCTTAGTTTTTGTACTTGAATTTAATTAAGTTATAATTTCATATGGTTCAAACCAATAAAAGATTCACATATCATTAAATTTTGCTACTAATTTTTTCTTTTTGTATAATTAGGAGAAGTAGTTCCTTTAGGCTAAGAGCGTAAAAGATTTTAGTCCTCCCAGCAAAGAATACATCTTATAGGTTTCGTACGAATATTTCTGTAATATATTTCATTACAGAGCTAAATACTAAAACTTTAAATACTCCACCAATAAAATAAAGTATATTCTCAAACATAAATCCTTAATTAATTAGAATTAAGAAGTGCAAAGTTTGAATCCTAAGCTTCTAATTAAGATTTATAGGTAAAAAAAGAATAAGCGGAAATGATAAAATTTCAGAAAAAAAAAATTTAGAAAGAAATGGTTTGCAAGTTTTTTTTTTTTTTTTTTTAATCAGCAAATTTGCTTGAAATGTTAAGTAAGCCTCTTACATGATTGTCTTGAGTATGAAGGAATAGATTTGAACCTAGATTTATTAATAGATCGTGAGTCAGTGTGCACTAGAATTACGAAATTACTCTTAATCAATATTTCTAAATCATCAATATCTATGCTAGAAATTCATCATGCACCTGAACAATCTTTAGCCAATGAATCTACAAAGTGATTCTGACTCTAAATATAAGTATGGACCCATTTCTTAAATATGGTTTGCAAGTTATGAGGTGATTATGACAGTTACTGGTCCAATTGGTACCTAAAAGGAAATGAAATTCTATTAGAAATTTAAAATTGCTTCACATGGCCCAAATAAAGACACAAACATAAATTTGTAACTCTAAATTGTCATCATCAGCCAACTTGCAGGGATTTTGCCCTTTATCTACTGGACACTATCCAATTCTTTTCCAATATATATGATTGATTGGACCCATTTCTTAGACTTTTCTCCTACAGTTGTTCTTTGTTCTTGAGTTTCTTGTGTTAAAATTATCTTTTTTTTTTTTTTTAATACCTGAACGAGATATTTAGATTTGTGTTTGTTTTAATTGTTCACAGATCTGACTAATCCTCACTCGTTTTTAGAAGTAAAGAGACTGGTCCGGGATAAATTTATATTGCAGAAGATCGAAAATATGACTTAAGCCATCATAATCAACTTTACAAATTGAAATTTAGCACTGAACTACCTCTGTTCTGGAATAAAAACTCAGAGAATTAGCATTAATTCTTTCCTTATTCTTTACTGAACAATCATTCTCCATCAGGTTGCAAAACCACTGATGTTCTTTCACTGCTTTAGAACCCACATATTGTACAATTGCATGTGCCTTGTCCATTTCTTTGCCGACCATATAAAGATACTTTCACGTTACTAGCAGGCCATTAAATCAGACAAAATAAATTGCAGCTCTAGTCCTACTTTGTTTGTAATATCAGCAATTCGAAATCTGAAATCTAAGTCATCCTTTGTTGAAAATATTTATTCCAAACCTGAACATGGTCCACATTAGTGGATGAACACATTACGAGAAACGTGATAAAATTTGTCTACACTTAGTGCATAGCAAAGTAGCACTCGACTTAATAAATTAGTAAAAACTTTTAATCAATAGAATTTGAAGTTTCGACCAATTAAACCATATATAATTGGCTGTAAAATGGTTCTGTTTTAGTATTAAATATAGGTATCTCCACTGCGCCTGAATTGAGACCAAATCCTATTAGCGTCGAATCAGCCCACTAAAGGTAAAGTGCTCTAGCGATAGGGGCGGAGCTATATTTTGGGAGCCTAATTAAGGGGACCATGGCTCTCCAAGTAATTTTTTAATAAATTTCCTTATCAAAGGATCAAAATATAGAAAAATCATATTTAGCTCCCCAAAAGTTCTTTCTCAAAATAATTATCTTAACTCCGCTTTTGCCCAAAGCGTATTTGCTTTATCTATAAAGATTAAAATTTTTATTTTACTTAATGGAGAAAAAGTGTAGAAACTATTTCTTTATATATATATGGAGAAAACAGTGTAGAAAACTATTTCTTATATCATTATATATTATTATATATATATAATATCATATAATATGATATTTCTTTTTTATACACTGCAGACATCTATTATTATAAGTAAAGTAGGCATGCAACACATATGATTTTCTTTTTTTAATACACTGAGACAATTATTTTATTTTAGTAAGTAGGCATGCAAACTAATTTGGAATTTTTCTTATCTAAAAATAAACAAAAATGAACTTTTCTAAGAGAGAAAATTAAGTTGCACGTGTTCAAAATAAAATCTAGAAAAAGACTATTAATTACTAACTATTATCTATTATTGCTTTCAACTTCAAATCAAATTGAAACTTGGGAACATTATTCTAAAAAGAAAGTTTGATTTTGCTTTTAAACATTATATTAGGTTCAAATCACTTTAGTAACCAACAATATCTTATTTATTAATTAATAATTATAAGAATATAAATGAATTTTTATTAGTCCTCCAATAATATACTCAAATACATTAGTTATATGATCTGTCGACTGTATTCCTGTTACACTATTTAATCCTTTTGTTAAGTTTACTTCCTTAAAATAAATAAATAACATAACAAAGAGAAAATAAATGAATTATATATAATTAAACTTAAAAATAAAGTATTTTTGTTAGTGTATTTGAATATAATCCAACAGTTAAATGGTATTTCACTCTAATAGGATAGTTTTGTTTGGGGAAGTGATGAAAGCTAAGGTTGGTTTTCCTTTAATAGGCAATGAAGAAGTACTGACTTTAATTTATTACATCATAACATCACATGTATTAATTATTTATTAACTTTTTATTTATTCTATGTGAGATTTAATCATGTAACCATAACGAACTTTTAGTCAAATTAGGGTTTCTTCACTTGTTTCCTCAAGAGACAATCTTATGCCTCGCACACACGTGTCAAGCTAACAACATAGAATCACTGTTTCACCAACGGTTTATATACTTTCTAAGCATGACCCATCTTGACGCGTGTCCTTTCTGACAGTAGGAAAGAGACTTTCTCTTCTTCCTGTGATCAAATTTTCTCCATCTCCTGCAACTGCAAGCTGCGACTTCCACCAGAATCTGTACACTTAGCCACACATAGGCTGACACGCCACCAGGTAGTTTAAGAAGTGGACCTTAGACTGTCGTTAATTAAGATCATCGATTATTGCTATTATCTTCTAGACAATTAATTAAATTGAGGTTTCTTTTTTCCTTTTTTACGTTTATCATCAAAATTTAAGAAGATGCATATGGCTTTGGATTGGCCTATGGAGTTCAATAATTCCATTATCTTCTTAGCTTAGCTAGGTTTAGCTAACCACGTAAAAGCTTAATCTCTATAAGAGTTTTTTCCCCCTTCAATTACACTATTTAATTATTAGTTAAAGACATTAACTATTACTCATAATAAGCTATGGCTCAATTGTTAAGAAGATATATTTAAGTTGACCTGAAAATGTTAATTTTTTTTTGAATTTATAAAAATTAATCAAACAATTAAATTGCCTATAAAAGAATATTTTATTTACACAAGATCATTTCAAGAATAGAAAGTTAGTTTCTTTCTATTCATAGATGTTTACACAACATTAATAAAAAAAATCCTAATCACTTATATTTAAATTATAATACATTAATATTGTATATCCGAGATATTGTAAAGAACTTGTCTATACTTGGTGTTTTAAGTAATAAACGAGACAATAAATTATTTGTATTCAACTCGTGATTAAACTAATTTAAATTAAAAGGCCATTCAGGTTTTAGATTTTCAATATTTTTCATAAGATGAATAATTAGTTTACAACCTAGGTGATTACATTGTGGAAGTAAAAGCTTTACATGAATATAAATGCATTATTTTTCTTTATAAAATTAGATAATTAGAAAGGTAATAAACTATTAATTACCCTAATCACCAAGAATATCAAACAAGAGTAACACAGAAGGGTGAAAAACAACCACAAGAAAAGGAAAGAAGAATTGTGTTATACATGACATATTACCTTCAAAGGTAAATGAACATTGGATATAACAGTGATCCTCCGATATTAAGTCGACAAGTGTCCACCCAAAAGGTTTATTGCTTTAAAGGTTAACATTGACGTCCATTAGACATTTGAAGGTAACATAGACATTCCATAGAAAATCCAAAAAGAAATTTAAAAATAAATATATGGATAAAACAGTTATTAAATTTAATTATATTACTATGTGTACAAAAAGAAAGAAGGGTGACTATCAATAATAATGTCAGATACTGTTTTGATCAAAACAGTGAAAAAATTGGACTGTTTATAAAAAAGACATTTAGACTGATATAGAAACCCTACTATATATAATTTCTTGGTGGTAATATAAAATTTAAAACGTTTTATTTCTCTTATATTCAAGATTAAGAGTTAATTTTCGCCAATTGTTATAAGTTTATCTTCTTAATTGATCATCCTGGATGAAAGACAAATCATGTATGCAATATTAGAAATTCATGAATAAGAAAAATTTGTATGCATCCCATTGGACGAATTGAGAGCGATCTGGTTAAAATCAGTTTAATTTTGATTTCGATTTTAATTTTAATATGGTTCCAGCAGGTTGAAGATTTTTTATTTTTTTTATTTTTATCCTTGGGTTGAAATGGTCGCAAACTAGCATGTTCTGGCTTATTCCAAAGAAAATGACCAATTCTGTTTCTAATTTTTGGAATCGGTATCAGCTAGAAATTGGCTGGTTATGGGAAATTCCAATCCAGAATCGGTTTATGGCCATGCACAGTTGGGAATGAAATCCATTTACATGTTAAGTTAGATTAAATATATGAAAAACATCAATACTGTTTTCAAAAAGATAAACCTATGTGGATCAATAGTAATAGGATAGATTACAGGTGAATTTTACTAACGAGGTTCGAAATTTAGAGTCCCCACTATTGGAGAGTGAAAGCGAGGAGACATGTGTGCAAATTAAAAAAAAAAAAAAAAAAAAAAAAAAAAAAAGCAGAGCCGAGACATTGTAGTGCAAACTTCAAAAAAAAAAAAAAAAAAAAAAAAAAAAAGAAACCGGATAAAAAAGATGATGCCATAGCAAAAAAAAAAAAAAAAAAAAAAAAAAAAGAAACCGGATAAAAAGAGATGCCATAGCCAGGGTTTTCATTTCTCTCATAATATCTGTACTCTGGTTTCGTCTTTTATCTCTTGAGTACTAAAACATATAGGGCTTTAAAAAGTTTGGCATCCCTTAACAAAGACTAGAAAGTTGGTCTAGAAAGAGAAAATGGGGAGAGGGAAAGTAGAGCTGAAGAGAATAGAAAACAAAATAAACAGACAAGTAACATTTGCCAAGAGGAGAAATGGATTGCTCAAGAAAGCTTATGAACTCTCAGTTCTTTGCGATGCTGAAGTTGCTCTCATTATCTTCTCTAACCGTGGAAAGCTTTATGAGTTCTGTAGCAGCTCTAGGTATATGCAAACACATATATTTATAAACTTCCTCTCTCTCTCTCTCTCTCTCTCTCTCTTTCTCCATATATAGTCATATATACATATATTAATTTGTTTTTCTGCATTTGTGGACAAGATCTGTGCTTTTCAAGAACCCAGTTCTTATTATCAGTTACTACTTCTAGGGTTTCGGTTGTTTTCTTGATTATAAAAATAAATTTGTACTTTTTCATTATATTCAAGCAAGTGGTTTAGGTTTTTATTTGCTTAGTTGCTTTTGGTTTAATTTTGATGATCTAATTAGCATTTTAAGTGATATTTGGTGATCTATATACCATTTGCGTTTCTTCTACATATTTTCTTTTCCAAATTCAGGTGTTCATTAGTGTAAGATTTCAGGTTTTACATGGTTTTAGTACAAGATATTTCTGGGTTTTTCTTGTTTCTTTTTGTTCTTACGATCTTCGATTTCTTTTTAAACTGAATTTTGATTAAATCTAAAGGAAAATCAGCTGATCTTTATTAATAAGACCCTAATTATTATTATTATTATGCTTGACTATATATAATTAAGGACGGTGTATAACTGGTTAATTTACTGTTGAGATTTAGTGCAGGCGATGTGATGTTTTTCAGTGTAAGTCTGCTCTATCAGTTGTTGCAATGAAAAGAGAGAATTTTTTTTATTTCTTTAATAGCTGCGGACAGGAAAAAAGCAAAGATGGATAATAATATTTAATTTCCATTGGTTAATTACCATTGTATTTTTGCCTTCCTTCCATATATTTTACTTTTGATTATTAATATGTTTTAATACATAGTCAAGAAACATTTTAGTGCTGTACTCGAAAACTCATGCATTAGATACTTAAGGAGCTGCTAATTTATTATCAAGGCCTTTAAACATGTACAATTTGTTTCTTGTTCTTTATTAATTTCTTTGGCAGAAAATTCTTACATTAGGGAGGTGTAGGTCTCTTTAGCTAAACTGCTAAAACAATATCTGACAGAAACCCTAATATATTAGACAACAAAAACTGAAATAGCACACGAAGACAAAAACTTTGTTTCACCATTTAGGTTATATATAGCTTCACGTTTCATTCCTTTGTTATAACCTTTTTTTTTTTTTGGCTCTCACTATATATTCAGAGAAATATATGAAATCCTTGTAACTGATCTGCCAAGGTTTCTTGTTCTTTTCTTAAGCTTTTATTTATTTTCTCTCTTTAACCCCTTTTTATTCCTTTATTAATGAGAAATATTTTAATGTGGAACTTCTGTTTTGTTTAACAGCTCAAGAAATTTTTCAATTTTCTTTCATTATTTTCTGAACATAAATACTTCATTCTGGGCATAAGAATCTCAATATTTTAATTAGTTCTATATATAAATAGGATGGCAATACATGAAGATGTGGTACTCATTATTCTTATATGAGAAGGAATTATTATCAATAGCTTGGAGATAATATGATATACTGCAGATATTTAATATACTTAATGCAGTGAAAGAAATTAATTGCTTTAAATGGATTTGAATTAAATAATTTTTTAGAATTTTTGGTTAATTCTTTATTATAAATTTTCTAATCATCCTTTCCTTCTACCGCAGCATGGTGAGAACACTTGAGAAGTACCATAAGTGCAGTTATGATGCATTAGAAGCAAACATACCTGGCCATGAATCACAGGTATACATTTGATCTGGTGCGAAGTAATGAAACGTAATATAATGGTTACATTAGAGATGCGTTTGATTACATTTACATTAAATTCCATTGCAGCTCATCATATAATATACCCAATATAGGTCGATCTAGGAATATTCTTAAAGTACTAATTAAGAATTTTAATCGAACTGTAGAAGAAAAATAAAAATCTGAATACTAGTTAAGCAAACTATCACATGTTCAAGGTTTACTACTATTGATTAATAACATTAATTGCATTATAGTATATCTCAATGCTTGTAAATGTAAATATCTAATTAATTCAGAAATATATTAGCATATGTTTGAGCATAATTAATTTAAATATCCCATTATTGTGTACTCAAGCAGGGCAACTACCAGGAGTATCTGAAGCTAAAAGCTAGAGTTGAGGTCCTCCAACGGTCTCAAGGGTACAATTATATATATGTGTGTGTTAATTAAACTGCAATTAAGTAATGATTCTGTTAAATGTGATTAGGAATTTCGTTAATGGTTTTGGGGCGATATCTTATGTGACTTGATTCGTTGAGATTGGGCGAATAGAGGTATACCATGTGAGCAATTAATAGTGCTGGTTTCAAGTTATTGTTGGAGTTACTAAATTTGGTTCTATTTTACTTACTACAAAAGTGTTATTGCTTCTTCTCTCAAGAATTTTTACCTTCTACCATAGTTCTTTATATTGATACATTCCAGTCCAGGTTTTTTTTTTACTTTAACATTTTTTACCTATGATTTGCGTGTTTTGGAGAAAGTCTATTGGCTTGGGTTTAGTTTTGCTAAAGTTTTGTTAAGTTTTTTCCTGGTAATTTTAATTAATAAGATTAAAAAATTTCGCTGAAAAAAAAAAAAAAAAAAAGGAATCTGCTTGGTGAAGATTTGGGACTATTAAATACAAAGGAACTTGAGCAGCTTGAGCATCAGCTGGAGACCTCCTTGAAGCAAATTAGGTCAAAAAAGGTACCTACAGTTCTAATAATTTCTTTCAAAACAATTAAAATCAAATATATATTTGTTCTTTTTGTTTTAATTTTTTTTTATAAAAAGCTTAGGTCATAATTTAAATTTAATATTGTGCAGAGTAATATTTCTCCAATATATCCTTATTTAATTAAATTAAATTAAATTAATTATTTATCTTTTGTTTCATGTTGTTTTCAGACTCAGTCCATGCTTGATCAGCTTTCTGATCTTCAAAACAGGGTATGCATATCTCAGTATAAATATTAATTTAGCTATTAGAAAGCTTCCAAATATACTTATATTTGGCATTCTTCTTGTGCAGGAGCAACTGCTACTTGAAGCTAATAAAGCCTTGAGAAGGAAGGTATATATTCCTTTTGTGCAGGCAGAAACTGCTAACTTGAAGCTAATAAAAGCCTGAGAAGGAAGGTCATATACTATATATATAATAATATATTATATATATATAGTATAAAGAACAAATTAACCGAGCTAAATTATTTTCTCTTTTAGTAATTTGTATTGATATATAAAGAACAAATTAAGCCCGAGCTAATTATTTTCTCTATTAAGTAATTTTGTAATTGAGTACTTGTCTCCAAAAATAAAAATTTAAGAATTTAAATTAAACGGACATTTCCATTTCTCTTTAATAAATTCTCATTTTATAGTTGGAAGAAAGCAGCGCGCAAATTCCTCTTCGACTCGCATGGGATGTCGGAGGGCATAACATTCCGTACAGCCGGCTTCCGCCTCAGTCGGACGGGTTCTTCCAACACTTGGGATCAAACTCCACCCTGCAAATTGGGTACTAATTTTAATTACAGTTAAAATCGTTATTAAAGAATTCTAATGTTCTTATTTTGAAATGAGATATTATTTCCTTTTGTATTTGGATTTTCAATGGTTACAGATACAATCATGTGGGTGCTGAAGGGATGATGAACGTTGCTGGTGCCCACAACCAACATGTCAATGGATTCATTCCTGGGTGGATGCTTTGACTAATTAATTAATTGAAATATAATTAAAATTACATATAATTTCATAACCTTTTTGGGCTTTTCTAAATTCCCCTTCTTAATTAATTATCATATTTTCTTATAATTCTGGTTGTTATCTGTGTTATCATAATTTGTAATTATGATTGAAGACAATAATTTAATTGATCAAGTAAATGTATGTAAGGTGCCATACATTAAAGACAGATTTTGTATTTACAATTTTATATATAGATTTATGTGACGTATGGCTTGTATTTAATGTTTACTAAGTGTGTAAATATTTGTGCTCTATGTAGGGCTGTGTTCAACATCAGTTTTTTAAATTGAAACGCTAGACACTATTTTTATAGTGTTCGGTAATATAACATTTGAAATAATTTTTAGAGATTAGGATAATGTTTTATAAAACATTTTATATAATGTTTAGCTTTCGTAAAACGCTACTTAAACAGCTAACAACTATCAAAATAACTAATTTTACCGAACAGATTTTTAATCTTCCAATTTATGATGTATATATATACATACCATCATTTAAGCAGACTTCAAACTCAATACATATGACATCCTGTAATACAATGCTTAAACACATTGATGACCGCCATAAGGAATAGCTAGAAGAAAATATCTCAATATTTGAATATTAAAAAAAATGAAATCATTTAATAAATTTTTATTCTTGTATAAATACCTTAAACCACATTTAAAGTGGAGGGGAGAAATTATATGCTATTAGATTAGTAGATTAATAGTTAAGACCAATCTTTGTTAGAGATTGAAATACAACAATGGAAGAGAAACAATATAATAGTGCCTATATGGGCCTCCTAGTGGGCTAAAGTTTAAGTTGTCCTAATGGGCCTGAAGCTTATTATGTCAAACCCATAGTTGTCAAGCTGATTCAGTGGCCTTTATATAAATCACCTCTCATCTCATATATGCATTTTCCATCGCATCTTTCATTAATCAAACTAACTTGCTACTATTTACCCTTTTAACTTAATTTACATATCTAATCCAAAACAATGTAATGAAGATTGCTTGTCTTAAAGCTTAATATATATATATATATATATATATATGGTGGAAGCCATCTATTCTTTACTCATTAAACTTTTCATTAGAACAAGTTAATATGTTCCGTCTAAAATAAGATATCCAATGAATCTATACTTTTTATTAAAAAATGTTAATATGTCCTGTATAAAATAAGATATCCAATGAATCTATCCGTGTGAAAGAAAGTATTAAAAGAACAAAATGAGATGATTGCTTATTATTTTAATTACTTTAAATATTTTTTACTCTTTAAGGAAGTTTGATTACTTTTCCACTTGCATCCCCATCAAATCCAACATAATTAAAGGACAGTCTAACCCTACCATATACAAATGTAACCTTCAAGTTAATTGAATAAGTAATTATCTCTTTCTAATCTCACCTAATCACATCATTAGAGACTTTTTTGACCTTCCATAATTAAGCAAGAGTTTTGTTTCATAGGACAATCAATCAATTATTATTTTTATTTGATTTATTAATTATGCTTGTCACTTTATTTTTCTATGGAGATAAATCTTTCCTTTATATTGTATAAAAGTGATAATTATTTAGCATTGTAATCAATAGTTAAAAGAGATTTTTTATTGTGCATAACCACCAAGTTGATTACATCAATTTGAAGAAAATAAAGCGACTTTATTTGAAAATAATAATGATAAAATAAATTATGATTTTTTTATTTTAGAAATTTTATAATTTTAGAATGAATGATCTACTTTTAATAAGATCAAGAAAATAATAAAATAAAATAAAATAAATCAAGAATGATGACGTTGAACAAGATTATAAATACTACATCATTGCTTTGCAAGTCAATGGTCTTAATCAATAATTTTTTTTCCAAGCCTACCATGCATAGGGAGAAAAAAAAGATGAGGCAAAAATCAAACTCAACACTCTAACTCTCTACTCCGTTTGTTTTCCTATATTTTTTGCAATAATTTTCGGTTGTTTGGAGCCTTATGGAAAATAAATCAACCGCAGAAAAAAATTTTTCTGATTAAAAGAAAATTAATTCATTTTTAAAGAAAATAACTTTTCATTTTCAAGAGTGTAACATATTTTCCGAACATTGACAAACTTATTATAACCTTATAAATCTTTTTTTTTTTTGCATTCTTTTTATATTTAGCCCGAACATTGACCAAACTTATTTAGTAACCTTATACAATCTTTTTTTTTTTGCATCTTTTCTATATTTACAATAATTTTATAAAAATACAAAAAATTCTACTATTATTAAATATTGTATGGTTTATGAGGGTTGAACAATTTTCAATATTTTTAACTTAATTTTTATATATAACAAACAACAGAATTAATTTTTAATATTATAACCAAACAACAGAAAATAAGTTATTTGGAAAATATTTTTCAAGAAAAATATTTTTTTTTTGAAAAATATTTTCTAAAGGTAAGTTATTTTCAAGAAACAAACAGAGACTAAATTTATTTTTTTTTTCTAAGATCTTAAGTTGACCAGCAAAAAGACATTGGGCTAACAAAGAATTTTAGGCAATGTTCATTGTTAAGTTAACTTTGCCATTTCAACTATAAGCACAATATGCAAATTAGCCTTTAACGAAATGATGGAGAGCTTGTCTAATTTGCATAATATAATATAAAAATATTAAAATTTGACATTAAAAAAACTACTCTCTTTAAAAAATTTATATATTTAAAAGAAAATTGTGCACTTTCATGCTTGTTTCTTGGGAAAAAAAAAAGGAAAAAAAGAATTCTATTTTGGGCATAAGCAAAGAAAGAGCAAGAGGAAACAGAACTCTAGATGCCTTACAAGTTCTATCACCAATTAGAGAAAAAACTTGAATTTAATCACATAAAGGCAAAGAAAATTATGCTGACTATATTTTAGACAATCCTTTCATTTTCAGACACCAGATTCAGCCAATCAGATTGGTCAAGGCCTTAAAGAAAAGACAAAGTACCTGACCTCTTTTTATGCTATTTGGGTTTGGCCCAACACAGCCCACGTGAAATTAACCTCACCAAAGTAAAATATAAATATACACAAAACCATGCTTCTTTTCTCTTATTATGTCTTTCCCTGTCTCTCTTCCCTTGTCTGGTCTTCTTCTATGTCATGTTCTCCAATTTTTAGAATCAACAATATTTTCTGCCTCTACCCAGCCATTACTCTTTTTTTTTTTTTTTCCCCTCATTTTCTTTTTCTTTTTTTTTTTTCTTTCTCCTTCATGACCAATGCCATTCATTTATATCTTTATGTACTAATCCTGGAGCCCCCAAATTCATGTCGAATACCTAGTTAAGGACTGAGAATTTAGTATTCATTAATGGCATATAAAGTCCACTTTTTTTTAGGGTTGATTCGAGTTTCAGCATTTTGATCAGAGTTAAACGCTATTTTTTATAATGTTTAGTAACATAGCGTTTGAATTAGTTTTTAGAGATTAAAGTAACATTTTATAAAAAAATAATTCATGTAACGCTTAACTTTTTGCTATTTGAGTAGATAAAAAACTACTTAAACGGCTAACAATTAAACATTGATAAAACAGTTAACAATTATCAAAATAGTTAACTTTACCAAATAGAATTTAAAATAATGCAATTTGAAATGCATGCACTATTAGAAATAATTTTATGAGACGGAATCCAGCTCAAACAGTCAGGTGTAAAAAACAATTATACTAATTAAATGAGGTACGACTACAATATTTTTTTAAAAAAAACTTTTCACTCAAAAATTTTTAAAAAAAATTTTAATCTGGGGCCACAGCTCTCCCAAACTCCCCGGTCCGTCTCTGGGTCAAATCATGCTTGCAAATATTGAAAAATTGGCATTTGAAACTTGTCAGTGGATTACTTGTGGTGGGTGCTCAATTTCTGCAACGTGGCACCATTTGCCTCCAAGAGAAGTTCCAGTGACACTGATATCAAATCAACCTCACACTAGCATCAGTTCCTTTTTTTTTTTTTTTTTTTTTTGCCTCGCAAGAGAAGCTTCAGTACACTGCATATCAAATTCCAACCTCACACTCAGCATCAGTTCCTCTTTTTTTTTTTTTTTTTTTTGGAATTTTTTTTTTTTTTTTTTTTTTGGAAAAAAAAATAATCAGCAGTACTTCGCCATAATTCATAAATTTATTTAACAATTATATTTTAATTGTGTAATTTATTTATATTTACATATACATAAATATATAATACTAATTAGTTTTTTAAAATTGATATTTTTCAATATTAATTTTATTAAATATGGGTATGCACGCATGCTAAATTATGACAGAACTATTCCCATAATTTAAGTGGTTTGAAACGTTGTATTATTAGGGGATTAAGATTCACCGGTCCATCAAAAAGGACGATGGCAAAGAAAAAGGACCAAAAATTTAAAATTGAAACAGCTTGAGATATTCATCAGTAAATTTTGGAGTGGTATGGCAGTGACAAAGCCACCACATGTACTGTTGCAAGAGTACTGAGGATTTATTATATGCTGCATCAAATTCTCGAGACTCAAAAGGTTACACTTTTTATAACTATGTACTGTTGCAAGAGTACTGAGGATTTATTTTATGCTGCATCAAATTCTCGAGACTCAAAAGGTTACACTTTTTATAACTATGTACTGTTGCAAGAGTACTGAGGATTTATTTTATGCTGCATCAAATTCTCGAGACTCAAAAGGTCCTCAAACTCGAGACTCAAAAGGTTACACTTTTTATAACTATGTACTGTTGCAAGAGTACTGAGGATTTATTTTATGCTGCATCAAATTCTCGAGACTCAAAAGGTTACACTTTTTATAATTGATAAGAGGTTGAACGGATTGAAATAATATTATTATGGTTGCAAATAAATAATGAGTTCGAGACATGTTCAATAAGAATATGCTCAAATTCAATTTGTATCTGAGCTCGAACTTGAAATTTATCAAATCAAAACGACATTGTTTTAATATATTTAATTAATTTGCCTTATTGAGTTGACATATGAGTTCGGTTCAACTCAATAGCTTATAAGCTTGACTGAATAAAACTAGTTCGTAAGCTAATATAAATCTAGCTCGAGCTCAATTCATTTAATAAATGAGATCGATAACTCAACTCAATAAGCTATCGAATGAGCTTGAGCATGTTTTTATTGAGCCGAGTCTCGAGCAGTCTAAACATTATCAATTACACAATATAGAATAGCTTTTTAATTGACTCATAAAATTTGTGAGAACTCTTATAATTGAAAATGCTTTAATTTGAGACATCTCACGTGTCATGTTAATGAAAAAATTAACGTGATTTTGTGCTGAAAACATTATCCTTCAACTGATGCAAATAATAATAATAATAATAATAATAATAATAATAATAATAATTTTAAATTCCTAAACTTAGAGTTTGCTTCCCTTCTATTTAAATTTTAACTTCATCTCTGCATATAATCCCTTAATTAAGATATGAGTACACATGCAAATTAACTTCCACTTGTCTGTGAATATAATAATAATAATAATAATGACAGTTTTAGATTTTAAATTAAGAAAAATATATTTGGAATAGTTGAATTACAAAATAAGATTTGTTTAATGGTATAAAATTACAAACAAACATGCATGCATGTATCTCATCTAATTCATTCTTGTTAATATTCATTTCATAATGGCATTAGTTCTCTAGTTTAATTATTAAGACTTAGATTCTTTTAGGGAAGTACGAGGTGATGCCGACAAATTTTGTAATGGTGGGGAAAAAAATATAGATAAAAAAAAAAAAAACAATATCTCTGTGGCTGAGAAAGTGTCCGTACCATACCGTCACTTTCCAATTCTATTTCTGAGTTCTTGTACTCATCGATAATTCTTATTCCTATTTTTTAATAATCAACAATAATTCGAAATATTATTTATTTATAAACACCCACCTCCTAAAACAACTAATCAAATAGAAAACCAATGTGATTGATAATAACTACTTAACCACAGAAAGCTAAGATACATTATTTTATTTAATCTTTCCATTATGTTTAAATAATGTTAATGACAGCCGGTCACATAGTCTGGTGGGTCTTCTTACTTGTCTGAAAAGTGAGAAGTTTCGATTTGAATTTTATTAATATGGTCAGTGAAGAGAGAGCTAGCCCTGTTGTATAAGTGTTAATTTTTATTTTTAAAATTTAATTATTTAGTCCCTTAATTTTACTTATGTTATAGTGTTTATTTTTAAAATTTTTTATTATTAGTTATTAGTTAATTAAAGTAGAGAGTTTTAGTTAGTGTATTTAAATATAGCTCCTTTCATGCACGTATTAATTAATCAAAAATAATATTTTATTAATAACTAATACAAAATAAATAGAAAGCTTAAATAGTCATATGAAAATAAAATGGAGAGACTATAAAATTAAATTTTAAAAATAAAGAGTTAAATGCATAAATATATTTTTGTGCTTTACTAAAAATTCATACAACATACAATTTTTATTTTAACCTATTAAATATTTTAATTTAAAAAATATTAACATTAGAATAGTTTTTGCATATAAAAACTAAAAAAATATCATTATTAGTCTATATAAACGTCTTCAAAATTTATAAGCCCAGGGACACAATGGATCCCTTATAAAGTTTAAACCGTCACAACATTTTTTTACAAAAAGACAAAAACATATTTATGTATTTAACAGATTCCAATTAAATATTCGAGTATTATGGAGCAATTGAATAATAATTTAGTTTAAAAGATATATATATATATATATATATTCTATAAGCCAGGGACCAGCACTGAAGATCCCTTAAAAAGTTCATAAAACACGATCACAACATTCTTTTTACAAAAAGACAAAACAATATTTATGTCAGTTTCAACAGATTCACAACTTAAATATATTCGATATTATGGAAGCAAAATTGAATATAATATTAGTTATAAACAATATATATTATTATATATCGTATATATAAAAGTTCTGGGAGAGAATTAAATATGTGTTATCATACGTACGTACAGACTGGTGGAAATATATACAAAAGGGTAAACAATAGCGCCGTCCAATCACTGACTAGTGAGACTAACCACGTTACGGATCATATATATATATAAAAGATTCTGGGAGAGTATAAATATGTGTATTATACGTACGTAAGATGGTGGAAATATACAAAGGGTAAAATAGCGCCGTCAATCACTGACTAGTGGCTAAACCAACGTTACGGTCCAGTCATGACAACATACGTAAAAAATGATAGGATTTGACTGTAACTCCTGCATTGGCTAAACCAATGATGGAAAAAGCTGTAATTTTTTATTATTTTATTTTTTTAGTGAAAATGTAGTAATGTCCTTATTTATTTTAGTAATGGCTAAACCAATGTACTAATTTCTTTATTTTATTTTTTTAGTATGTCCTTATTTATTTGGTGTGTTTATATATTTTTATTGAATAGGTTTAAGGTTTTGTTTGAAAAATAAAAAAAATATATATAAAATATCTATTTATTTTACTTTTCTTCCAAACACAAAAAAACACCTATTCTTACTTCAATTTACAGTACCGTTTTTTTTATTCTATCGAAACAAAATCTAGTGTAACATTTAATAAGTTGTAACTAAATGTAATATAATACGATTCAATGTATAATGTGTTTTTAATATAAATATTATAAAAAAAATTTGATATTATTATTATCGCATTCCGTTGTGATTTATCAAACATTAACTTAAATGTAAGAGAAAGAGCAAGTGTTAAAAAAAATTATAAAGAATAAACAGAAATTAAATAAATGAATAAGTAATAATAGGAATAATATTAAAAGGATTTCTGGAGTCCGTACACAAAAGAGATAAAAATAAAATAATAATATGTACGGATGAATGAAACATACTGTTGGAAAATTATACAAAAGAAACAAAAATAAAAATAAAAATATGTACGGATGAATGAAACATACCGTTGGAAAATTATCACGCACAAAAGAAAAAATGTTTTGAGTCCTCTCCATCCAATCACCAATCGACAACAAATTTGACGAAACCACCCTTGTTTTACAAAACAGCTATTTTCCTACATCTATCCCCTCTCCTCTTCCAATGTAGTTTTGAAAGCTTCCATATATGTCTTTTCCTTTCTCTCTGCTATATATCTCTCTAAGCATCTCTCTCCCTCTCACATATTATATATATACACAGGTCTTCATCACTGTTTAAAGGAGAGAAAGAAACCAAGCCAGCAAAATATACCCAGAGACAGATTTCTCCATTTCTTTCCTCTTTCAACTCTCTTTCTCTCTTAATTTGAATATTATTTTTGCAGAGAAGAAGAGAAGAGAAGCGTGTTTTTTTTTTTTTCTATTTTTGGTAATTATTTTTTGAAGATGGGAAGGGGTAGGGTTCAGTTAAAGAGAATTGAAAACAAGATTAATAGGCAAGTCACTTTTTCGAAAAGAAGGTCTGGTTTGCTGAAGAAAGCTCATGAGATCTCTGTTCTTTGTGATGCTGAGGTTGCTTTGATTGTCTTCTCCACTAAAGGGAAGCTTTTCGAATACTCTACCGATTCCTGGTACGATCTTTCTTTTTCTTGATTTTGATTATATATAGCCTTGGATTCTTTGATTTGTAGTTATTATTTTCTGCTTTTTATATGTCGTTTAAGCAAGATCAAAATGAACAACTTTCGTGTTTTTGATTTTTGAAAAATAAAATTACATATCGAGTACAAATAACAGCTATTACATTGAGTGGCATTCCCGTCAATTTCATGCAAAGAAAATTTGGAAACCAGCGGTTCGTTAGGTGGTCTTGGAGGGTAAAAGAAAAGTATTAATGAGAGTGTGTACTTAATTCATGGGGTTTAGTATTATTATTAATAATTAAATGAATAATCATAATAATTAATGGGTTTGCTTGGATGCAACACAGTCTTCCCATGTATCATGTGCAGTCATTTCTTACCCTATAAAAGATCAGCAGTGATATGATATGGACTCACTTAGTGCCGCAGCTTTCAGTCTTACATAAATAATATCTTTGGTTGCCTTAAAGAATGAGGAAGAAGAGACGGCTTTTAATTAGTTTTTTAATTATTATATATCAACCAATTTTAGTTTTGTTAGTTTAGCCTTTTGGGATTATCCAAACTTTTTTTATTGTTAAAATATTTCTTTTTTGTCTTTTCTCTTCCATTATTCCATTTGTTAATTCCTTTTAATGATGATTGTGTACCCACATTATGTTTTGAGTTTAGATAATTGTTAGGAGCTAATTTGTTTTGGGATTTTGATTGTACCTTACAAGATCATGTTTGCTGTGTGCTCACATGAAGAAACACACATTTTCTTATGAATAAATATTAGAAAAATAATATTTAACTCCTAAACAGTACATTTGAAAGTATTGGGCAAATAGTAAAAAGGTTGTTTTTTTTTTTTTTAATTTTTAAATTTGCCTGAATTAATTATTTGTCATCTTTAGGACTGTCTTAGGGTTTTACATTTGGTTATGATTGTGTAGTCTGACCCTCATTTATGATATATAAATTAGTTCCCCCACTAGGAAATTACTATTTTCATGCTATATCTATCACAAAACTTTATTTGGGTTCCTATTGAATATTTAATCTATGATTTAATAAAAATATACAAAATAAATGTATTGTTCAAAAAAGACAAAGCAGAATAAATATACTTTGATCAGTGAAATAGTTGATTTAGCATTTATCTGATAATGTAAGAACTTAAAATTTCCTTTTAAAAAATTTCATTATTATTAAAAAAAAAAAAAAAAACCAAATTTCCTTTCTTAAAAAATTATCATTATTATTAAAAAAAAATTTCATTATTAAAAAAAAAAAAAAAAAAACCCCTCTTTCTATATAGTGTGTTGGAAAGGTGGAAACAAACCTTACAACTTGTTCTCTTTTTTCATGGTTTTGGGCTGTTTGATGACAATGCCACTTATTAAGATTTTCCATATCACCACCACTAGTCTTGTCATGCACGAGGCTATTTTGTAAACTTGGCCCATTGCTCCCTTAGGCCATGCTTAAAAAGTAATTATACATAAAAGCCTATTTGCTACTGTAACCAACAAAAGAAATTTCTCATTGACTATACAAGATAATGTTCTAATAGTAATTAATAATTTATTTAATTAATTTAATAAGCTTTGAAGCTTAAATCTCACTGTTCATTATATATTTAATTGAATTTTTTTCCTGTTCACGGTCAATTTGAGATATTATTATGGCAAGAAAATATCATCTATACAGTCTTTTTCTGTTTCACATGTACACAGAAAACTATTATAGGAAATTATCTGAATTGTCTATTCTTTATCTAATACCAAGAATACTCTATTCTTTTTCTACTACACATTATCAATTAATTTTCCTTTACTGCTAAAGACATCAAGTGTGTCTTTGTTCTTCTTTCTGTACAAGAAAAGAAAACTGTGGCTTCGGCCTGAACATAGATTCTCTATCCTCACTGTAACCTCAAAACCTACATCTTTAGTGCTTTTTTTAAAAAATTTTTTAGGGTTTGGAGGGAGTGGGAGGTTGAAGATAATGATATTACTCGATGTTTATCTCTCTTTTCTTAACTCTTCACTTCAATTATAGTTTCAAGGACCAAGAAAATATTTAATTTCTATTAGCAATCAAATTAAGTAGCCAAGATGAAACTTTTACCTTTTGCTTCCCCACTAACACAAAAGTAGCCAAGAACGACCATGAATACCAAATGGTCGTTCTTGGCTACTTAAATTGATCATTTTGAAATGTGTTTTAAAGGTCTATTAAAATTGCTGTAAGAATCTTATTCAAAGTATTGATTATAATTTTTTTTTCCCTTTAAGTTAAATTTCATATAGTTTCAAGTTAAATTTAAAAACAGATAAAAAACATCACTTCAAATATGTTTTTCAGATGACCTTCAATATGATAGTTTTCTAGAAAAACAATCTAAAATGTTATTTAGCATGATTAGCAAATGATATTTTTGAGTTTTTTTTTCTGTTTCTTTGTATATTAGATTAGAAGGATACTATATCATCCGTCTGTCTAATAATCTCCTTCCTTTCCAGTTGAGAATTCGCATAGGTTACTAAATCTTGGAACAGTTTGACTTTTATAATGTTTTGATTTAAGGGAAGAGGGCATCTGAGATTGGAGTTCTGGAACTAATTAAATGACTAGTGTCTCTATACTTACTTTTTGATCTCATAGGATGTGCTTAGAATTCTCTTTACTTGAGATTTCACCTAAAAGAGATTTCACCTACCGGCCTATTCCACTGAGGAAAATACTTGCCTACTCTAGTATTAAAAGATAAATTTTCAAGCTTCATTAGGCATGTCTGGATGTTGAAGATGTGTAATTTTTTAAGAAAGAAAAATATCTACGAATTATAAATAAATGCAAATAAAGCTCCTATATCAAAACTCCTATTCCAAAACCAAAATTCCTATAACCAAAAAGTATGCTAAAAAGAATCTCCTAAATGTTAAGTTCCATGTTTTTTCTCTTCCAGGAAAACTGCAAATTTCCTAATAAAAACTGAAATGTAGATGAAAAATTTAAATTAACAAAATTTGATAATATTTCCATTTGAATTTGTGGTATTGAAGTTGTGAATCCCCCATTAGAACCCAAATAAAAAAAATTATACTAACTTTTATTTGCTAAAGTTCTCACTTCTTTTATTTGCTTATCAAAAGGGGAAAAAAAAGCACTCACTTCTTCTGAAAATATAATTAAAATGTTCAGAATTATTAAAATTTTGATCTTAACATTTTAAGTAAACAGAGTAGTAGTAAATTGTTGACATTAAATTGATAATAGATTTTTATATTAAGCTTATGCAAAGTTAAGAAGTAACTTAGCATACAAGTGCATAAACAATTAGCATTATTTTTTTTATCAGTAAAAATAATTTTTATTAAGTTATATTGTTCAAAAAAAATTTATTTTATCGAAGTACTAATTCAAGCTATTAAGCCTCTCATTTACACCCAACTTAACCGGATAACTTAAGTAAAAAATTTTGTCAAAATATCATATACACCAAACTGGAAAACATCAGAAACTATCCAAAACTTTTAACACAACTAATAACTAAACTGTCATAATAATAAAAAACAAAAGAATACAAAACCAGATGCAGCTATAGCCCACCTGCGGCAAAGTGATTTCACAACCAATCATATTGAAAATTGCAGTCCAAAAAATTTACATATTGCCAAGCAAGAAAATCTTCATGTGTTTCAACTCCCTTTTTAGCCTACGAATCTGCAAAACAATTAGCATTACTAACATACTACATATAGAAGGGAAAACATTGTTGAAACAAAATGAAGTGAACACGATGTTTCTGTAAAAGTGAAAGGAAACTACTCAATTAGAATATGTTTAAATACTAAAACCTTTACCAAAATGTTGAGACCGATTAAAAATTCGGCAAACTGTCCACCTGCAATTTTCATTCTTACTGCTCTTCAATGGCTTCTACAGTCTCTGTCTGCTTTGCTGTTTTACCTGATTGTATGGTTGCTATTTTTTGAATATAAATTTGCATACTTTTACCTTTGTGTATTACAGTCATCTTATAGTCTATGTTCCCTGGGGCTTCTGTTGTCAGTGTTTCTTGTTTCCTTCATGTTTTGTCACTCTCTTTGTACTTTTGATGATATGCTCTCTTTTACAATATGCATATGTCAAAAAAAGGTTATGGCTTTAAAACCAAAAACAAAGGGAAAAAAGAAATCTACAACAAAAATGACAAGCCTACACCCACAAAAAATTGGCCCAAAAGCTAAAGACATCCTCATACTAACTATTGTGTCTTTGAAATGCATGAGGAATGTAGGAATAGAAAGGCCTATGGAATTTAGGAATAGCAATAGGGTGAGTAGCAAGGGAGTCTTTCACCATTTCATCCTGGTAACTCCTTATAACTTTTTATATATTTTATAGCAAGGGAGTCTTTCACCATTTTCATCCTGGTAACTCCTTATGGAACTTTTTCTATTCCATAGGAATAGAAAGGCCTATGGAATTTAGGAATAGCAATAGGGTGAGTAGCAAGGGAGTCTTTCACCATTTCATCCTGGTAACTCCTTATAACTTTTTATATATTTTATAGCAAGGGAGTCTTTCACCATTTTCATCCTGGTAACTCCTTATGGAACTTTTTCTATTCCATAGGAATAGAAAGGCCTATGGAATTTAGGAATAGCAATAGGGTGAGTAGCAAGGGAGTCTTTCACCATTTCATCCTGGTAACTCCTTATAACTTTTTATATATTTTATAGCAAGGGAGTCTTTCACCATTTTCATCCTGGTAACTCCTTATGGAACTTTTTCTATTCCATAGGAATAGAAAGGCCTATGGAATTTAGGAATAGCAATAGGGTGAGTAGCAAGGGAGTCTTTCACCATTTCATCCTGGTAACTCCTTATAACTTTTTATATATTTTATAGCAAGGGAGTCTTTCACCATTTTCATCCTGGTAACTCCTTATGGAACTTTTTCTATTCCATAGGAATAGAAAGGCCTATGGAAT